TGTGCTTAGTCGTTCACTGTGTCCGACTCTTTTCGACCCCCTGGACTGTAGCCCACCAGACTCCTCCGTCCATGGGGATTCTCCAGGCAAGAATACTGAAGTGGGTTGCCATGCCCTCCTCCAGGAGATCCTCCCAAACCAGCAGCCCAATCCAGGTCTCCTGCATTGCAGCCGGATTTTTTTTTTTTTTTTTTTTACCATCTGAGTCACCAGGGAAGCCTTAAGATAAAATGGTAAACTATAAATTGGAAATCAAGACAAGGAAGGAGTTCCCTGCTGGTCTAGTCGTTAGCACACAGTCTCTCCCCAACCTGTTGAGCCAGAATCTGCATTTTTACAAGATCCCTGGGGGACTGCTCTGTACATTAAAGTTTGAGAAGGTTGAAGAGCAGACTCTGGGGAACGCTGAACAACTCTGACCGGGGAATGGGATTCCCTGAGGTGATGAGTCTTGCGTGACGTCCCCAGTGGGTCAGTGGTAGATTTGGAATCAGCATCCAGGTGTCCTGAGTCCTGATTACGTTCCTTCTTCACACCCTACCTCGTCCCCTTCATCTGGGAAATGAGGACACTTGATGAGATTCTTGTTGGAGTAGTAAACTGTGGGGTGATGAGGGTGGCCATTCGATTTATCATCTGAGCAAAGTCACCTTAAAGAAGTGCCAGAGGACACCACGAACCTCTCCAGGATAATAGGCGACAGAAAGTGACACAGGCGGTCACTCTACACACCTGAAGTCCTCTCCTAGTTGACAGAGCCCCTCACAGATGTTAAGTAATTTAAACAGATATTTCTATATTTAACAGATATTTCAGTATTTAACAGATATTTCTATATCCAGTGACCAGATGATCTTAACGTTCTATCTTTTCAATAAAATCTGATTCTCAAGGAAACTATACACACACACGATCTCATAATAGACAAGTCACCATCTAACCTAACCGAGAAAACAGAAAGCCCAAGTCAACAAATAAAAAAGAGTGGGGAGACAGGTTCGCCAGTTATGGGATTCTGAGATCATTCTGCTCTCCCCATCCCTGTGAGTCTGGGAGCCCGGCTGAAGCTGAAGCGGGGCTTTCCCGGCCGCCTGGCCGGGCTGACGTCACATCTGCTGGCTTTCGGCCAAGTCATTTCCCGATGAGTCAACCAGCCCTTGGAGCTGGGCTATTCTAGCACTTCAGCCCGGAGCTGAGATGTCAGAGCAGCTTGGCAGGAACTCAGCTCTTCCGCTGGGATGGGAACCTGATTATCTGGTGACCTGTTTGCTGACTGCGCCTCTGACAGCAGCCGCCCACGCCCCCTCTCTGCCACGGCTTCGCCCGCTGCCCTTGGCTGCCCAGCTCTAGGCAGGTCCCTGTGTTTCACAGAACGCCACTGCTAGACTTGGGAGGGCTCGCCCTGTCGGAGACTGGGAGCTCGAGTCACTCCTTTACAGATGGAGAAACTGACGACAGGGGGAGAGAAGTGGCTGTCGAGATGAGCCTATTTTCATTCATTTTGTGCTCTTTCTATTATACTCTCAGCAATGACACTGATATTAATAACAGTCACAACTGGCATCTATTGATTTGCGTCCTGTCTATCACGTAGGCAGTCATTGTGCCATTCCCATTTCACAGAGGGGTTAAGTAACTTGCCCAGAGTCACACCGTTCGCTGGTTAGTAAGTAGCAGTGTGGAGATGTGATCCCACATAATCTGACTTCTGATCCTATTCTCTCACCTCCACTGACTACTCCGAGAGTTCTCACATTATTCTGGGAAGACAGGACCCAGACGATGGGTGTAATGGAGCCACCAGCGGCGGTAATTTTTAACAGTCCCCCGAAACACATGAGAACTGTGGTTTATCCGACATTCATCATTTGTCAGTCACGGTTCTAAGTGTTTTCAAAATATTTTAACATTTTATATTGGAGTATAGTTGATTTACAGTGCTGTGTTAGTTTCAGGTATGCAGCGAAGTGGTTCAGTTCTACATATAAATATATATGTCCATTCTTTTTCAGATTATTTCCCATTTGGGTTATTATAGGTTATTGAGTACAGCCTCTCTTTGCAACCCCATGAACTGTAGCCAGCCAGGCTCCTCTGTCCAAGGAGTTTTTCAGGCAACAATATTGGAATGGGTTGCCCTTTCCTGCTCTGGGGATTTTCCTGACCCAGGGATCAAACTTGAGTCTTTTGTGTCTCCTGCATTGGCAGGCAGATTTTTTTGCTCTTGCACCACCTGGGAAGCCCTCATTAATATTCTGTGCTATATACAGTAGGTCCTTGTTGATCATCTATTTTATTTATATATAGTAGTGTGACCTGGGATAACCACGATGGTGTGGTCACTCACCTAGAGCCAGACATCCTGGAGTGTGAAGTCAGGTGGGCCTTAGGAAGCATCACTGCAAACAAAGCTAGTGGAGGTGATAGAATTCCAGCTGAGCTATTTCAAATCCTAAAAGAGGATGTTGTAAAAGTGTTGTACACAATACGCCAGCAAATTTGGAGAACTCAGCAGTGGCCACAGGACTGAAAAAGGTCAGTTTTCATTCCAATTCCAAAGAAAGGCAATGCTAAAGAATTCAAGCTACTGCACAATTGTGCTCATTTCACATCCTAGCAAAGATGCTCAAAAATTCTTCAAGCTAGGCTTCAACAGTACATGAACTGAGAACTTCCAGATAAAAAACCTGGATTTAGAAAAGGCAGAACCAGAGATCAAATTGCTAACATCCACTGGATCATAGAAACAGCAAGGGAATTCCAGGAAAACATCTCTTTCTGCTTCATTGACTATGCCAAAGCCTTTGTGTGGATCAGAGCAAACTGTGGGAAATTCTTGAAGAGATGGGAATACCAAACCACCTGACCTGCCTCCTGAGAAACCAGTTTGCAGGTCCAGAGGCAACAGTTAGAACCGGGCATGGAAGGATGGGCTGGTTCAAAATTGGGAAAGGAGTACGTCAAGGTTGTATGTTGTCACTCTGCTTATTTAACTTCTATGCAGAGTACATCACATGAAATGCTGGGCTGGATGAAGCAGAAGCTGGAATTAAGATTGCCAGGAAAAATATCAACAACCTCAGATATGCAGATGACACTACCCTATGGCAGAAAGTGAAGAGGAACTAAAGAGTCTCTTAACGTAGGTGAAAGAGGAGAGTGAAAAATCTGGCTTAAAACTCAGCATTCAAAAAATGAAGATCATGGTATCTGGTTCCATCACTTCATGGCAAATAGATGGCAAAACAATGGAAACAGTGTCAGATTTAATTTTCTTGGGCTCCAAAGTCACTGTGGCTGGTGACTGCAGCCATGAGATTAAGAGACGCTTGCTCCTTGGAAGAAAAGCTATGACAAACCAAGACAATGTATTAAAAACAGAGTCATTACTTTGCCAACAAAGGTCCATCTAGTCAAAGCTATTGTTTTTCTAGTAGTCATGTATGGATGTGAGAGTTGAACCATAGAAAAGTTTGAGTGCCGAAGAACTGATGCCTTTGAACTGTGGTGTTGGAGAAGACAGGAGAATATCTTAGACTGCAAGGAGATCAAACCAGTCCATCCTAAAGGAAATCAACCCTGAATATGCATTGGAAGGACTGATGCCGAAGTTGAAGCTCCAATACTTTAGTCACCTGATGTGAAGAGCTGACTCATTGGAACAGACCTTGATGCTGGGAAAGATTGAGGGCAGGAGAAGGGGGTGGCAGAAGATGAGATGGTTGGCTGGCATCACTGACTCAAAGGACATGAATTTGAGCAAGCTCTGGGAGCCAGCAGAGGACAGAGTAGCCTGGCTACTCTGGGGTCCACGGGGTCGCAAAGAGTCGGACACGACCTAGTGACTGAACAATGAGTGTGAGCTTGCTGGCGGCTCATCAGTAGAGAATCCACCAGCAGCGCAGGAGATGCGGCTTTGATTCCTGACTTGGGACGATCCCCTGGAGGAGAAAATGGCAACTCACTGCAGTATTCTTGCCTGAAGAATCCCATGGACAAAGGAGCCTGGGGCGGGGCACGACAGTCCATGGGGTCGCAAAGAGTTGGACATAGCGCACGCGCGCGCGCGCGCGCGCGCGCACACACACACACACACACACACACACACACACACACACACAGTGTGTATGTTAATTTCACATTCCTAATTTTATCCCTCCACCCTTTCCCTTTTGGTAACCATGTTTGTTTTCTGTGTCTGTGAGTCTGTCTCTGTTTAGTAAATCAGTTGATTAGTATCACTCTTTTAGATTCCACATATATTTGCTAAATGCTTTTCACATGTATTAGCTCAGGTATCCTAAAACCAAAACCAAAACTCCCCTCCCAAAGAAAAACTCACAAGGAGGGAGCAGCAATGTCACCGCTGAGACAGGGAGAATGAAGCAGAGCAAGGTTACGTAACTGGCTTGAGATTTCACTCGAGTTCTGGGGTTCAGAGCCAGTCCACCTGGCAGGGAGCTGCATTCCTCCCCGCTAACCGCACTCCACTGCCGGTTCACCGAGTTATTCATTCTGTCCTCGCAGCGCCCGACACACAGGTGTCACTTTCCATCCACTCACTTTTTTCCATCGAGATGAGGAGACAGACGCTCAGAAAGTTCAAGCAGCTTGCCAAGGCCCATGCAGGGAGCTGGTGGTAGCCCAGCCAGGGATCCAAGTCCCGGGGCGCACTCTTTTTCACGTCCCCCCGGGCCTTGGTGCTGGGTCCTAGCTGGCCGTGGACCACAGAGCACCCGGGCGCCAGGGGCGCACCTCACCTGCGGCGCCCCCGGCCCGCCGGCCCGACACCGCCCCCTGGCGCCAGGTGGGCGCCAGTGCAGCGCTCGCCCGCGCTGGCGCGACACCCTGATTGGCCGGTGCGGATTCGGGCTCCCATGGGTGCGGGCCGGGGGCGCGGCAGGCAGCCTCCCTCCGCCCGGGCTCCGGGCGGCGGGCGCGCTCTCCGGGGGCTTCCCCTTCCGTCCCGTGCGTCCCGGTTCTGAGTCCCAGGGGCCAGGATGACCATCCGACACCAAGGCCAGCAGTACAGGCCGAGGATGGCGTTTCTGCGGAAGGTGAGCGCGGTGCCATCCCCCGGGGCCGGGAGGAGCGCGGGGACCACCTCGGGGAAGCGGCGGCGGGGACGTGGGCAGGGCTGGGGGCGGCCCCCGTGGGGTGGGGGGCGGCCCTTGTGGTCTTAGTAACCGCATTATCTAAGCTTCCACGCCGCCTCTTGGTCCATGTTGGACTACGCGGGCCCGACTGTCCTGAGGGTGTCTACATGCCACGCTTGCTCCAAGAAGCTTCCAGTGACTCCAGTGACCCACGTGGGGAACGCACAGGAATGCACCTGACATTGCACTCATTCTTTCCCTGGATCAGCACCCAGCCCCTACGGCCACTTGCGCGCATCAGACTGCCCAACAGACACTATAAAGATAGGTTTGACTACTGTCCCCATTTTACAGGTAAGGAGACAGAGGCGAGTGAGGACCAACACTGGAAGAACTGTCGCTGTGATACAACAGTCTCCCTACAACGGCAGGAACATGATACAGGGTCTGGTGGGCAGAGGCTTCAGATTCTACTCCAGGAGTGGGGGAGGACCGTGGAGGAGGCCGCCTTGAATGTGAGAGGGAAGGATGCCGCATCAGCTCTGCTGGGCCCAGGAGAGGCAGAATGAAGACCCAGGTGATGCGTCTTGTCTGCAGGTAGCCCTCTCTGGTTGGTGGGAGCTCCCCCTGGCTGAGATCTCCGTAGCGAGTGCCAGCCACCTACTGTGAGAAGCACTGTAAGCAGTGGCGGGGTGGGTGGGATACTGATGATGCCATCCCTTCTGATACTTTTGGTGACTGTCTGGATTCCTTGAAACATTTGCAGTCACACCTCAGTGAGCCAGAATTTGAGAGCTGTAGTGCCAGGCCTGCCCGAGGGGTCAGACAGGCCAGTGATGACCTGTGTTACAGCTGGGAAGTGCGGTCTGGTCATCTCTGTGTGTCTACGTGTCTGTGTGTTGCGGAAGGGATCTTCAGGAGGGATGCACACAGAGCACAAAGATGATGGGGGGCCGGAGAAAGGCCACAGCAACAGCCTCTGTGGAGCGCTTTAAGGTCTAGGTAGGTCTTCTGTTGGTGGTGGATAGTTTCTGCTTAAGAAAAGGAGATCAAGATCGCTCTGAGATCCCAGGTGTCAATCATAATTTTTTTTTCACTTCGGATTGATAACTTATATTTTTTATTTATTTCCAGGTCTTAGTTGTGGCATGCAGAATTCTCTAGCTGTGCATAGGAACTCTTTAGTGGAGGCATGTGGGATCTAGCTCTCTCACCAGGAATGGAACCCAGGCCCCTGCACTGGGAATGCAGTCTTAGCCACTGGACCACCTGGGAAGTCACTGACTAGAACTTTTTAAAAAGGAACCATTTAAGTGGTTCCTTTAGAGTTTGGTTGGCATTGGTGCATCCTCTGGAGCCCGGTTACCTCTGTGGGAACTGTGTAGGTTTCTGGCCCTACAGGATGGAGGAGCAGACACTGGGACAAGGACACTCTAATGTCTTGTTACTTGTCCTTTGACAGGTCTTCCTTGAAACTACAAGTTTAGTAACATACTATTAACAGTAAATCACATCAAAGCTCCCCTTGATAGAGGTTTGGGCCAAAACTGCCTCATTAAGAGATTCTGTTGTTACTTCAGTAACTACGTCATTGTGAATAAAGCTGAAGACGTTCCTTGTACTGAATTTTATTCCATAATGTTAGGGCAAGTTTCCAGTGAATGTTACTTCATGCACACATACAACATTCTTGAGTGTTTCTTAGCAACCTTCTATTTATCGGAGGAAATGGTAATCATGTTTTACTAAAGTAGGTCCTTGAACAAATTTCCTAGGTTTGTCATTAAGAAGCCCTGAATTGTTGAATTTCCACTTGGAACAATTTGTATTTTTTTCCATGTAATTGTTTCTATGTTTTATAAATAATACATTGATAACACTGGCTCAGTGATATTGAGACCCTATCTATCCATGATATGTGTAGGAGGAAGAGCAAGGAGGGTTCACTTCCTTTTCCAAATGTTAATGGCTTGTAGTACTTCATTATTTATGGACTGATTTCTCAAACATCTGTAAAACTGAAACCATCCTGACGGAAATCCAGTCAGATTGATTTTCAAAACAGGAGTTCCGAAATGTCATTTGAGAAGTGAGAGTGACTCTTGCACAGGTCTGTGCTCAGGTGAATGATTTATGTCAGCGTCTCCCAAAAGTGTGTTCTGGGAAAAAACCGCAGTTGCTGGTGGGGAGAGGGGTGGCTATTAACAGGGTGTTACCCAAAAGTCTCTGAGGTCAAATGCTTGAAAACCACCAGGCTAAACAAAGTCAGGTGAGCTCCATTATTGCAGAGCTTCTCAGAACAGTTTAACATTCTATCAGTAACTGTGGTAAGAGACTGGAGTTCAGATCCCAAACTTACTTGTCCGTCTTTTATTGTCTCCTCAAGAACACACTGTGTGAAAGCTTCTTTATGTGAAATATTCCCCAGTGCAGTCTTACAGTGTCAGAGAAGGTAAATCTGGTTCACTGAAGAATGCATGCCACAGTAGTCACACGCAGCAGGCCAGGGTCTCACAGGAGGCCAGGGTCACAGGATGACAGGGTCTCGCAGGAGGACAGGATCGCATACAGGAGGCCAGGGTCACACATTAGGTCAGGGTCTCACAGGAGGGCAGGAACGATACACTGCAGGAGACCACACACAGGAGGCCAGGATGGCCACTCCCACGCTCCTCACAGCTGAGGGCTCTGAGGGCACTCAGCCCGGGCGGTCAGCCGCTACTCGGAGGAAGCAGCCGGGTTCCGAACGGGTCTCCCGGCCAGGCCCACTTCCGGGCGGGGGCTCGGTTCTGAGCCCGGCCCGCGCCGGGGGCCCTTTCCGGGGTGCCGGCAGGGCCTTCTCCCCACACCTGCACGCGTGTGTCAGTTACTTGATGCGTTTTACACGCGCGGCCGGGCTGACACAGCACGACGAGCCCTAGCTTGCGTCCTTTTAGGTCCGGTTTTCACCCTTCTTGTCCACGAACCAGTCGCCTCGAGGGGTTGAAACGAGGAGACAAGTCCACAGCGCTGGGGGTCGAGGGGCCGACCCCGAGCCAGGCCCTCGGGAAGGGCCCCGGGAGTTGGGGGTCCCACCCACACTCCCTTACTAGCGCGCCCCGCCCAAGCTTCGGCGGGCGCAGGGAGGGACCGAGCCGGAAGTGCCCGCCGCCGGAAGCCTGCCGGCGGAGCCTGCCCTTCCTCTCTAGGGCTGGGGCGGTACCCGCGTCTCTGTGGTCCGGGCGCGGCGGATGGCGGGAAGCGAACGCGGCGCCGGGCTGAGCGTTGGGGCCTTTCCCTGCCCTTTGGCACCTGTGCGCGCTTGGCGGCGCTGCATGCAGAGTCAGGAATTGCCCTCATCACGATATTAAATGTGGAGCTGCGGGAACGCGACAGGGCCCCGTTTCTCACAGCGCGGCCATAGGTGGTTTATCGACATGAAATCTGGCGCCCGTGCGCTCACACAAATACTTAACTTCTGTTTCTTTAAAGCGGTCTCCCCCTTGAAGTAACTTGAGCCTGAAGCCCGGCTTGGCCGCTGGATCCTGTGTCCCTCCGAGTTCGGCCCTCCGGCGCCTTGGGTCTGCGGGGCTGACAGACACACCTTCCTTCTCTTCCCCGCGGGCCCACTGGTTCGCCTGGGTTCAGAGGCTCCTGTTAGCACCCTCTTACTTGGATTTTCTGGTCCAAGAAAAGAACGGAAACTATACAAATACAGAACCTAGGAAAAGTAGAATCGGCTAGGTTTAGAAAACTTCACAGCATCCAAAACAAACAAAGGCGTGGTGAAATTAGTTCATTCTGGGCAAACGGAATGTAAATACGCAGTCTTGTTGAAAGACTCTTTGGCGTACTGTTATCAAAAGCCACTGAAGGAGCCTGGGCTCTGACCCACCAGATACCGTCTGTGGAGGATTGCAGACAATCAGAGAAGCGGAGGGGGAGAGAGAGGAAAACCTGCATTTCTGAAGTGATCCTCCCATGAACGGCTGTTGGGTTTGCTTGCCCAACACCCAGTTTTCTTTGCTGCAGTTTTAATATGATGATTTTCCTGTGGAAACCAGCTAGCCCTCAGTCGTCCGAGGTGGGCACAGGACCCAGGCGTGCCGGGTGGGGGCGCCCCAGCACGTCAGGGGGGTGAGGTGTGAGGTCAGAGGCTGGGCTGCCCAGGTCCCAGTCCTGGGTGCTACCTCATAGGGCCTCTAAGAACTTCAGCTTATTATTTGTCCTCTTTACTCATTTTTTAAGGAAGACCTTGTTTTAAATTGTACAGTTGATTTACAATGTTGTGTTCATTTCAGGCGTACATCAACGTGAATCAGCCATACATATGCATATAGCCACCCTTTTTCAGATTGTTCCCCCATGTAGGCCATTGCAGAGTATTCCACAGAGTTCCCTGTGCTCTATAGGAGGCCTTGCCGGTCATCTGTTTTATTGTTTTACTTTTTATTTTCTATGGGAGTATAACCAGTTAACAGTGTTGTGATGGTTTCAGGTGGACAGTGAAGGGACTCAGCCACACGCACACACGTGTCCATGCCCCCCAAAGTCCCCTCGCGTCCCGGCTGCCCCAGAACCCGAGCAGAGTGCCTGTGCTTTACCGGAGGTCCTCGTTGGTCCTCCATTTTGTATATAGTAGTGTGTGTATGTTAATCCCAACCTCCTAGTTTAACCTCCCACTTTCCACTCTTTACTCATTTGTTGACTGAGGGCATTTTTTTATTGGAGTATAATTGCTTTACCACATTGGGGGTGTTAACGACAGACGTCTACTCTGAGACTGTACCACACACTTGGGGAATGGGGCAGGTGTGCTGAGGCCTGTTACTGCAGACCACTGTGGTTTCATCTCAGCGTGCTCCCTTCAGCTTTCTGTTTTTTCCTTTTCTTTTTTGCCTCCCACATGATCCCACATCGTCCACTGCGTCACCCCAGAAGTTTATTTTACGTCTACTGGAGACACCCTCATGGCAGGACCATGTCTTCCGTGCGAGCTTAGTTGTATCCACCTCTTCCCGACCCCATGGCCTGTAGCCCACCAGGCTCCTCGGCCCGTTGGATTTTTTTTCCGGGCAAGAATCCTGGAGTGGGTTGCCATTTCCTTCTCCAGGGGATCTTCCTGACCCAGGGATCGAACTCTCATCTCCTACTTGGCAGGCAGATTCTTTACCACTGAGCCCCCTGGGAAGCCAGGACCATATCTTACTCACCTTTATACTATGGGTGCTTGACACAGTCCCCACCCCAGAAATGGTGCTCGATCAAGTTTATCGAACAAAACTGAATACTCCCTGACACAGAGCGGAGGGCACTGGAACAATGAATGAAAATGTAATGAATCTTAGAGGAGAAACGACAGGAAGAAGGTGAAAACCACAGGAAACTGAACAACTTTCTTACCGAAAATGGCGTGATACCTGGAGACTGTGGACTCCGTTTCTGCCTGGCCCTGGACTTGCTCTCCTATGGTGGGCAGGTGCTGGTGGTCAGCCGTCTTCTGGTCCCCATGACTGGCTTTCTAAAGAACTGCTTCTTTTTTCCTGCCTTAGAACCCATTTCTTCTCTTGGGGACTGGCAGGAGAAACAGCTACTGCCTTCAAAGAATCAAATCTACCCAAAGGTATCAGATATTGCCCTGTGAGCCCAATGATCAGATTCAAGAGTTCACACACATGATGCAGAGCGGAGAGTAGGCCTCCTTAGGCACGGATGAGATGGATCTGGGCAGCCAGAAGACCCTTTTTAGAAAAAAATTATTTATTTATTTGTATTTGTTTTTGGCTGTGTTGGGTCTTCATTGCTGCGCAGGCTTTTCTCTAGTTGCAGAGAACTGGGGCTGCTCTCCAGTTGCAGTGCTCAGGCTTCTCACTAAGGTGACTTGTCTTGTTGTGGAGCACGGGCTCAGTCAGTGACTGTGGAGCGCGGGCGCAGTCAGTGACTGTGGAGCGCGGGCGCAGTCAGTGACTGTGGAGCGCGGGCTTAGTTGCTCTACACCATGTGGGCTCTTCCTTGATCAGGGATCGAACCTGTGTTTCCTGCATTGGCAGGTGGATTTTTTTTTTTTTCTTTTTTACTACTGAGCCACCAGGGAAGTCCCCAGAAAACCCTTTCTCAGGGATGATTGCCCAGCCTCTAGTGGTGATGCTGGGTGAGTGATGCCACCATCTGTTTCTCTGCTGAACAAGACTCACGTGGAGCCACATGATCTGAGACTCAATAATTCTTAGAACAGACGAAAGCACTGAGTGTAGTGTAGATCTCATTTACAACATCCAGGACCATGGCCACTTAAGCTGTGAATATTCCAGTGACTCCTGGTTCCCTGGTCCATGAGATAACCTATGTAGTTTATGGAATATTCTAGTTGCTAAAAAGTTTTTCACTGAATCTGTATGCAATGATGCCCTAATTGAGGTTATGCTAATTCTTAGCAAGCTTTGGTGCTGCAAAAGGAATCCAGCAAATACAAAAAGACCTTCACCTCCCATCCAGTGGCCCTGTGGTCACTGATGTCACAGCAATAGTGAGCATTTACACTGCGGGAATCGGCGATGCCACAATCAGATCTGCCTCACGTCAGAACCAAAACCCAGCAACCGCCACTCACAAGCTGCGGGCTGACCGTGCCCTTGGTGAAACTCATAGAGTAGGAGGGGCTGTAAGGTGTGCAGCAGTTATTTCCCCCAAATCTGCGTGGAAAAAATGCCACATGGGTGGCACCTACCCCATGCTGAAGGAGGGGGGAAGAGGGAGACATGAGCAGAACATGCGACAGGGGAGAAGATTTGGAGGGGAGAAAACCCACTGCGTGCTGGAGAAAAAGTAAATTTAAGGGATGGTAAGAGGGAGAGACTCTATGTTGAGGGGAAGTGAAACTACAGCTGACAATTCAGATCAGGCCAGATTGGGAGAGGATGAGCGTTTTCAGGGAGGTGATGAGAGCCACTGAAGATTTTTAAGGAAGGGAGGGGGCCTTATAAGAGCAGGACCTGGGGAAAATTATTTCTCTGACCTTGCACTTTAAAAAATTGAGATATAACTCACATACTATAAAATTCACCCTATTAAAGTATACAGTTCAGTCATTTTATCTATTCACAAGGTGGTGCAGTCACTACTACTGTCTAATTCCAGGACATTTTCATCAGCCCCAAGAAGAAACTCAATACTCATTAGCAGCCACTCTTCCCTCCACTAAATATTTGTACTTTTTACAAAACACCAAATTTGGTTACCTGTGAAGTGATTTGAATTTTCAACCCAGGAGGGTTTATGTGTTCCAGACATAAAGAGGAAAAGGGACAGTGGCTTTTCTGAAACAGAAGTGGCTTTTCCAAGTTTCTGTTGATATAACCAGACATTATCTATCCATCCATCCATCCATCCATCCATGTGTCCCATCAATGTTCTATCTAACTATTCTATCTGTCTGTCTGTCTATCTTTCTATCCATCCATCCACCCACCTACCCAGAAAGAGAAGAGAGAGTGAAAGAGAGAGAAGGCAACATTAGATCCATGCGTGGGAGCAACGAGCGTGGCTGGAGCTGACCTTCAGACCCAGCATCTGGGTGCTGTGGCAGCTCTGGATGTTAGAAGACAAGTCTTGCAGGGGTCATGTTTTTACCTGCGGCATCTCCCGTATCAGCCGTCTTCCTGTAGGCTTCAGATACTGCCATTCCTGGGGAAACCAAGAGAGAGCAGAAGGTGCATAAACTTGGCAAACCCCTTGCTCTGGAAAGCCCTAAGGAGACCCTTGCTCTCCACGGCCCTCTGGGCCCTTCTCGGAGGACAGGGGTGGCGGCTGGGGCCCAGGGCTGTGGGGCCTGAGCCACCCCACGGGCAGGGGCAGCATCTGAGCGTCAGGACTGGGGCTCCCTCTTGCGGCTCCCCCATCACGTGTGGCAGGAATGGTTGGGGCACGTGCATGATGGCATCCGCTCTTCAGCCACGTGGAACCTTGGGCTGGCTGGTCTAAGGGCAGCAGGGCCTTGATTTGTAGGGAGCACTCAATCCCACCGTCAGCCTTCGGGCTGATTGAGCTGTGTATTTTCCTTCACAAGTTAGTGTCTCGAGACTTCAAGACTGGAGAGTAATTCTGAGTTCATCGAGCCTCTTTCTTACTACTCCTGAGAAAACAGAGACTCAGAGAGATCCTAGGTAACCTGATCAACTCCACCTCTCCCACTAATGGAAGTGTCAGAAAAGCGGGGTGGGGGGTGGGGGTGTCAGCAAGAGGGACAGAGGCCACAAGGAGACTTTGGGGGGTAATAACGTGCTCCTTGTCTTGACTGTGGGTGTAGTTTCCTGGGTGGATACATATACTGAAGCTCATCAGGTTGTTCACTTTAAATTCCTGCAGTTCACTATGTCAGTTCTCACTCAATAAGGCTGCTAAAAAGAGGCACACATCCGGGGAGAGGCGGGGCAGGGACTAGCCAGGAGGTTCACGCTTCCCTGAAACCCAGCGCCCTCTTAAAACCAAAGCCTATTTGAAGTCGTGAAGATGCCTTTCCCCATAAAGTCATTTTTCCCTTTTTTAAATTAAAAAAAAATTAAGAATTGAAGTGTAGTTGTTGAACAATATTATATGTTACAGGTGTGCAGTATAGTGAGACAATTTTAAAGGTTACACTTCATTGGTAGTTACTATACAATATTGCCTATATTCCGCGTCCTGTGCATACATCCTTGTTTTACACCTAATACTAAGCACCTCTTACGCCCCACCCCCCCCCGCCCTCGCTCCACTAGTCTTCCCTCCCAGCGAAGCCCCATCCTGCCTAAGGGTTCTCCCCAGACCACAGAGCATGCGGGCGCCCGGGGAGCGGCTCACCTGCGGCGCCCCCGGCCCGCAGGCCCGACACCGCCCCCTGGCGCCAGGTGGGCGCCAGTGCAGCGCTGGCCCGCGCGGGCGCGGAGCGCTGATTGGCCGGCGCGGATTCGGGCTCCCGGGGGCGCGGGTCGGGGGCGCGGCAGGCAGCCTCCCTCTGCCTGGGCTCGGGGCTGCGGGCGCGCTCTCCGGGGGCTTCCCCTTCCGTCCCGTGCGTCCCGGTTCTGAGTCCCAGGGGCCAGGATGACCATCCGACACCAAGGCCAGCAGTACAGGCCGAGGATGGCGTTTCTGCGGAAGGTGAGCGCGGTGCCATCCCCCGGGGCCGGGAGGAGCGCGGGGACCACCTCGGGGAAGTGGCGGCGGGGACGTGGGCAGGGCTGGGGGCGGCCCCCGTGGGGTGGGGGGCGTCCCTTGATGTTACTGAGTGACTGTTTGCCGTGTGTGTGTGTGTGTGTGTGTGTGTGTGTGTGTGTGTGTCTGTCTGTCTGTCTGTCTGTCTGTCTTAGTCTGTATTGGTTAGGTTTCCTTGTAACCTGTTTACAGTGGAGAGTCTGCAGCGGGGCGATGGTCGGCTGGAGGCTGAAAACAACCTGTTACTTGGGAGAGGAGGCGCCGGAAGACAGTTTGGCGAGGCTGGGTCATTTCTGAGAGTCTCCAGACATTGTTGGAAGGCGCCCAGAGAGTAAATCAACATACTTACAGTTTTCTGATTCAAAGCAGCAGTATTTAAAGTGTGTGTGTGTTTGTGTGTGTGGTTAGTGTGTCCACACAGAAATGGTGTGATTTGTAAGCTAGAGAGACACCCTGCTTCCAGCATCCCTAGGTTGCTCATTCAAGTGTGTGTATTTGTGGCCTTTGGCTCTCTGGGCCGGCAGCAGAAGTCAGGACCCCCCTGTTGCAGGGCTTCCTCAGACCAGGGCCCAGGCACTGGGAGTCTGTCCTGGGGGCTGGTGCCAGGGGGAGCGCGTCTTGTGGGGTGATGTATTGGGGACGAAGTGGCTCATTGTGTTCTGGGCTCTTGAGATAACTGGTATCGGAGGAGGTTGGCAGAGGCTTCCGTCCTGGGTCACTCACCCCCTCCCATCTGCAGTGAAGTGTCCTGTCTTAGGCTTATCTTGAGGAGAATTAGCCAAATCCTTTGTGACGGTAAGAGCTGCCCTGAACCCTTGCAGCTCAGCAAGCTATTGTTGTCAAAACTGCCCTGATTTGTCTTGCAGTGTTAAAAGCTGGGCAGTTCGGGCTACACTGGGACATTGGTCACCCTTGGCCCGCTTAGTGCAGTAAGCGTGTGCTTCTGCCAGGTGTAGAGGTGTGAGGGCATGCAGCAGAGGTGCAGTGGAGCCTCCCTGGGGGAGAGCATGTATTAGAGAGTTGCTGTTGTTGTTTAGTCAGTGGCTGAGTCGTGTCTGACTCCTTGAGGCCCCACGGTCTGCAGCACGCCAGACGTCCTTCACCGCCTCTTGGAGTTTGATCAAACTCAAGTCCGTTAAGTCGGTGATGCTATCTGGATCCCCAGGTGGTGCAGTGGTCAAGAATCCTCCTATGAACGAAGGAAACCAGGGTTCGATCCCTGGGTCAGGAAGATCCGTTGGAGAAGGAAATGACAACTCACTCCAGTGTTCCTGCCTGGAAAAGCCCATGGACAGAGGAGCCTGGCAGGTTGCAGTTCATGGGGTCCAAGAGTCGGACACAGCTGAGCACACACACAGTGAAGAACGGCATTTAGGGAAACCCAAAGCTTAGACGTGGGAATCGTGCGGGGCCATGGGGGAGCCTCAGGGAGTGGGGAACTAGCTTGGGCGGGCGCGAAGTCGATGGTGGAAGGGCTGGTGGTGAAGGACGGCTCACAGCTCAGGCCCGCACGCGTCTCCTGGAGATGCGGGGTTTGATGCTCTCTGTTTTCAGTGAGGAGCTGCTCAGCCATTTAAAGTCAGGGAGGAATAAAACCCGTTGGTTCCCGTGTTAGAAAAACAGTTCTGAGTAGAGGGGAGGGGGGCCTCTCTACTCTGGTGGCACTTTCAAAACTATAGCCATCAGATCACCAGTCTTAGAGTTTCTGACTTACTTCAGTTCAGTGCAGTTCAGTTCAGCCGCTCCATCGTGTCCAACTCTTTGCGATCCCATGAACCGCAGCACGCCAGGCCTCCCTGTCCATCACCAAGTCCCAGAGTCCACCCAAACCCATGTCCATCGAGTCGGTGATGCCATCCAACCATCTCATCCTCTGTCATCCCCTTCTCCTCCTGCCCTCAATCTCTCCCAGCATCAGGGTCTTTTCAAATGAGTCAGCTGTCCGCATCAGGTGGCCAAAGTATTGGAGTTTCAGCTTCAACATCAGTCCTTCCAATGAATACCCAGGACTGATCTCCTTTAGGATGGGCTGGTTGGATCTCCTTGCAGTCCAAGGGACTCTCAAGAGTCTTCTCCAACACCGCAGTTCAAAAGCATCAATTCTTCGGCGCTCAGCTTTCTTTATAGTCCAACTCTCACATCCATACATGACCACTGGAAAAACCATAGCCTTGACTAGACGGATTTACTTAGGAGGTAATTAAGTCGTTAAGTCTGTGGAGCCCAAACATGGGTGTTTTTGAAAATAGTAGCTTCCCAGGTGATTTGAATGTACGGTGCACAGAAAAGGCCTTGGGATGCTGAGTGGCATCTGGGGATGTTGTGGGGAGGGGGCTGCTCCTGGCATCTCGGGTGGGGTTGCTGCCAGACCCCTGCGTGCACAGGACATCTGGCCCCCGCATGTCAGCAGCAGTGCTGGGGGGGCGCCCTGGAGGCTGGGGACCTGCCAGGCACAGGCAGAGCTGGGTGACCGAGCCTGGGAGTCGGGGGAGGTGACATGTTCCCTGGAGGCCAGGTCCACTGGGGGTGGGAGACTTGGCAGAAACAAACGCAGAGCCCGCGAAGCTGGCGGGCCCTGGGGGAGCCTCCTGGGCGTCTGTCTGGTAGGCAGAGCAGGTTTTGGGGAGGGGCCCGTCTGGGAGTGGTGCCCCCGGGGGTTGGAGAGTTGGGGGGGGGGGCGACGTGACCCGTTGTCTGCTGGCCCATGGTGGGCCGGCTCCTTTGCCAGAGCCTTGTCCCTGTTAGCTGACAACCTCGTGGTTTGTCCCTGTTGGCTGACAACCTCGTGGTGCTGCTCCCTTGCCCGCTCTCTATACAGAAAAGGGCTGATGATTATCGTCCCCCGGGGAACCTTCTCGGGCTCAGAGGAAAATTCCAGCCCCTGATCTTGCCCCGTGAGTGACAGCTCCCTCCTGCAGGAGCGGCGTGGGCGTGGGAGGTGGGCTGCCGTTCCCGCTCCTGTGACACTGGTGTTCCCTGTCACGCCTGCGGTCACGCCCAGCACGTGGCCTCCAACGCCCCCATCCCGCCCCCAGCCCGGGGTCACCCGGGGTCAGGCGAGGCCCAGGTCCCCTCCATCCTCTTGCTGCCCAGGATCGTGGGGGGCTGAGCCTGGGGGCTGGGGGGCGCTGAGGTCTGGGGTGCAGGCGGCCGTCCCCCGGGTCTCTGGGCCCCAGGCACAGAGAGGAGCAGGGGGAGGTGGCAGCAGTTGGAGCTGAAAGGCAGGTCTTCTCACCCGCTGAGGACCTGGGACCTGTCTGTGGTGGGCACGGGGCCTTCCTGCCGGAGGCAGAGCGGGCACCCGGGTTTGCACGGCTGTGCTGGGCCATGATGGCAGAGGTGGGGCCCGGAGTGCGGGCCCCGGACAGGATGTGGGAGGTGGTCTCCGGGCGGCTCTGTGCGTGCCCGCGGGGCCGTCCCCTGCGGTGGATGCCCCCCCGCCCGGTGTTTGTGTGTGACAGTCGCTCGGCCGTGTCCGACTCTCTGCGACCCCGTGGCCTGCAGCCTGCCAGGCTGCTCTGTCCGTGGGGTTTCCCAGGCGAGAGTTCAGGAGCGGGCTGCCGTTTCCTCCTCCAGGGCATCTTCCCGAGCCAGGGACTGAACCTGTGTCTCCTGAGCATCTCCTTCACTGCAGGCGGGCTCGTGACCGACTGAGCCGCCAGGGAAGCCCCTCCGTGTGTGTCTGAGTCCTTACCTCGTCTCTTCAGCGGACCGCAGCCAGGCCCACCCTAGTGACCTCCTTTTAACTCGGTCACCTTTGCAAAGACCCTGTCTCCCGATCCAGTCACATTCTGAGGTTCTTGGGGGCCAGGACCTCAACCTATGAATTTGAGGAGTGGGTGCCACAAGAGAGTCTCTTGGAGATGGGACCACCAGCCAGAGTCCTGTGGTTTCCTGCCTAGAGAGACCCCGGGGGAACTTCCCTGGGGAATGTTCTGAGAACCCCGAGTGTTCTCTAGGTCCCCGTGCTGCTCCCCCTCCCCCCAGCCCACTTTTCTGAGAAGTGTGGCACCTGCCAGGGAGAAATCTGACTCCCCTCATTGTGTTTTTAAAATAACTCTCATTATTCCTCCCCTGAAGGTTATTTTCAAATCCTTTGTAACTAGATTTTTTTTTTTTTTTCTGATGCAAAGAGAAGGAATGAAACCCCCTGACTTTCTGCTGGAGAAACTCAGGTTTCTAACTCATAACTCGGGTTTCTATTTCTTCTCCAATATATGAATGCCTGGACTCCATGAAGTGCTGCTCTTTCATCTCATACAAGTTTTGGGATAAAGGTGGACTTTCTTCTGGGAGTTAACATGGGGAATGGGGCAGCGGGGCGCCGGGCTCTCGTGTCCGAATGGCGGGCAACCCTGGGAGGAACAGGCGCGTCCCAGGTTCATGGGCGGGCGTGAGTCCAGAAGTGGTGCCTCCTGCAGCCCGAGGCCCCTCGGTCCGCGCCGCTGTCCAAGAGAAGCACCCCTCCCCAGCCTCCTGGGGCGTCTCCTCCCTCCCCTGTATTGTGAGCCGCACGGCCGGCCCAGTGGCCTGAGGCGGCAGTGGACTCCTGGTTGTAAATGCCCCACGTTCCTCTTGGCATCTTGTTCCCTCGGTGCTGCTCGGCTGACCCGGGCGGTTCTGTCTTGCAGATCGAGGCCCTTGTGAAGGACATGCAGGACCCAGACACAGGGGTCAGAGTGCAGAACCAGAAGGTCACGGTCATCAGCATCCCTCACGCCATGACGGGTAAGGTATCTGGCAGTTTGGCCTTGGCCTGAACAGACTACACACAGGTGTTGGCAAACTAGAGCTCGCCGGCCAGAAGCGGCCCTTGTTCTGTATTTGCGAATAAAGTTTTATTGGAACAGATCCACGACCCCATTTATGTGTGGTCGGTGTCTGCTCTTGCACGGCAGTGGCAGAGTTAACATGCACACCCCCCACACACACACGAGTCCAGCGTCCAGCCTCTCACCCCTTGTCTAGGTGTGTGAGCCGCTGTCCTTCCTGGCACCTGGGGCCCCCTCGGTTCCTGGATTTGGGGTGCTGCCCACCCAGCCACGGTCCCCCTCGTTTCTCCTACACGGGTGAATCCCAACCGCAGTCAGAGGCCCGGGGGAGCCTTGTCATGCCACATCAGCGCTGATCAGAGCAGACGGGGTCAGCGCCACTACCTCCTCAGAGGGCAGGTGACCGGGACTTAGGGGACAACGGGGCTGACGTGCGAGCTGAGATCAGCACAGATCACGCGGTGGATGCCCCGGGAGCCCCCTAATCTCATCTGATCTATTTTAGGAAGCGCCCCAGTGGATGCGAAAGTCCTCAGCTCCTTGGTGGGGAGTGCTGAGCCATCTGCTGTCAGCTGAGGGGGGGGGGTGCTACTTTTCTTGGTCTGCACACCTCTGTGTAGAGATGTGGGGTGGACCGTCTAAGAACACACCCAGTCTTGGGATTTTAAGTCGGATTTTAGGGGAAGTCTACGTTTGAATAAGCAAGGGGCTGAATAAAGGCAAGAGCTACAGGGGCCCCTCTGGGAGCCGTCATGGTGGGCACGTGGACGCGGGGAGTGGGTGGCTGGATGTGTGTGCCCCCAGGGCGTTTGTAGGAAGGGGCGGGTACGGGCTGTCCCCCCTCAGCCGTGCTGTGCCCCCCACCCCAGGGCACAGGCTGTGGGGTTCAGACCCTGGCTCCCCACCGTGGTGTGATTCATGGGCTGGTTTCCACTCAGGCAGGACACCCAGCTCATCCCGTGGGAAGCAGGCTGGGGTTGCTAGAAAGAGTGGTGGTTGGCATTTGCACGATGGCGTCGGAGCTGGAGTGCATCTTTGTTCCCAGACGATGCTGCCACCTCTGAGGAGCGTGTCCTGCTGAGGGGCCGGGGGCCTGGCCGAGCAGGAGACACGCAGCTTCCTTGAGGTCCCGCGTCCACACTCAGCTGGCTGGTGGGACTCGGCCTGTCCTGGCCCTGGAATCAGTGTGAATCCTTGGGAGGGCTCCCCGTGCCCCGATCTTGTCCCCGTCTGCCTCCCCTGCCCTCTTCCACATCGGCCTCCCGTCTGCATTGCTCCCAGGCCAGCTCTCGGATGTGCGGGGCGCGAGGGCAGACGGGGCCCCCGTTCTATGGCCTGCATTTGTAAATGAGACTCCAGAGTGTTCCTAAGAAAGTGTCTCGTCCTTCTGCTTTGACAGAAGCCTTTACGATGACCTGAAAAGCCAGGCTTGCATGTATCTCTGACCCTCAGAGTTTTGCTGGGGAACTTAGGGGTATCAGAGATCCAGCACCCCGACCCCGGTGCACCCCCCTTCTCCTCCCATCCCGGGTTTTCATTTACTCCCGGGACTGAGCTCCATCCAGAGCTCCATGGACAGCTTGCTTTGGGGCTGTTTTTTTCCAATGCTCAAGACTTCATCTGTTTTCCTCCCTCTTGATGGATGACAGTCCAGGCACCCATTATTGTATCAATAAGAAAAGAGAGTCAGTACCACAGAGAGGTGAAGACTGGGGGGTGGCGAGGGGATGTGGGGTGGAAGTCTGGCTGGACTCACATCATGGGCGGCCCTGAATTATGGGCTGGGGGTTCGGACTGGACCCAGTTCGGGGGTGGGCTGCAGGGAGGTCCCTAGAAGATCTGAGCAGCAGGACAAGACCACGGCTGGACAGGGAGGCGGCCAGCTGGGCGGCAGCGTGGAGGCTGGTGTGGGTGTTGGGGAGGCTCAGACATTGGCCAGACCCTTCTGCTTTGCAGGAAGTGATGTCCTCCAGTGGATCAGCCAGCGCCTGTGGATCTCCGGACTTGGTGAGAGCCCCTTCTGTCCTCAGCCGGCCGAGGGCTTCAGGGCGCGTCACCCCGGGGCGTATCTGGGCGCAGCTGGGTGAGGCTCAGCCGGTGTCTCTGAGAAACTGACCTTTTAGTTGGTGAGATGAGGCCTTCGTGGGTAAAACAACCAGACTCAGAATGGAAGGGGTGATAACCGGGGGGCCACAGTTGTTTTTTTATACAAAACTCTGAGAGTGTGTAAGTCACAGTATTCCCTGGTGGCTCAGAGGGTAAGAATCTGCCTGCAAGGCCAGAGACCCAAGTTTGATTACTGGCTCGGGAAGATCCCCTGAAGAAAGGAATGGCAACCCACTCCATTCTTGCCTGGAAGAATCCCACGGACAGAGGAGCCTGGCGGGCTAGAGTCCATGGGTTTGCAAAGAGTCGGACACGACTGAAGCGACTAACACGACCACTACTACTACTAAGTCAGAGGAGTAACTGGGGAGGAGTCAGCCAAGAAGGACTTCCTGCGGGGGGTGATGCACACGTATACTTGACTTGGTCTGGAAGGAAATGATGCCTGTGAAGTGTGGAGGGGAGCTCGGAGGATCTGGACCCGGGGTGCAGGCAGAGTCCAGCTTGGGGCAGAAGTCGACCGCCCCTTCCTGCTTCTCACAGGGTGAAGAAGGGTCTGTTGGTCAGAGACACTTTCCCTGCTCCTGGGTTTCTCCAGACCCAACGGGCCCAACAGTGTTCCTCCAGGAAGTCCCCATCTCTCACCCCTGGTACCCATCAGCCCTGGGGTTCACTGGCTCCCCGCCAGATGCCCTGAGCTGTCACTGGGCGACCAGGCTGGGGGACTCTGGAACCATCTCCCCAGCTGGTACTTGTCCACAGCGAAGGTCAGCAACCGCTGTTCCCACTTCTTGGTGAAAGTGCTGATAGGATGGGGCCGCCCGTCCTGGCGTTTGGGGTGCTGTGTGGGGGCGGGGCGGTGAGCTGCTGCCCTTGGCCCCTGCTCTTAACTTCCTTGTCTCACCTGCTCCTCCCCAGAGGCCCAGAACTTGGGCAACTTCATCGTCAAGTACGGCTACATTTACCCCCTGCAAGACCCCAAGAACCTCACTCTGAAGCCCGACAGCAGCCTCTACCGATTTCAGGTGAGCCTCGGCCTTGACCTGGGGTGTTCGTGGGGCGGGATGTCGTCTGAAGGTGTGACCAGTTGGCGTCACGTCCTCCCAGATCTGCGGAAACGGTGGTGGAGGCGGAGGCCGTTTTATGTTTCGGGCTACGGGGCGGGGGGCCCGGGGCGCACAGCCTGCGTCAGCCTGGCCCCCTGGTTTCTCTCGTAGACGCCGTACTTCTGGCCCACCCAGCAGTGGCCAGCTGAAGACGTCGACTATGGTAAACCGCGCCCACCCCAGGCCTGGCCAGGGCTCCGCGCGCTGCCTAGCTGCACGCTGCGTCTTGGTGACGTCGCGTCGTCACGACCTTTACGTCTGTCCTCGTCTGTGTTAGCAGTGGCTCCTGGGGGATGGGCGCGGGCCTGGGAGCGTTGTCTGCAGCACTGAGCACGGCCGCCTCGTGCGTAGAGGGGTTTCGAAATGTGGTGAGGGTGGAAAACGCCCTTGTTTTCTTTTCCAGCCATCTATCTGGCCAAGCGAAATATCAAGAAGAAAGGGATCTTAGAAGAATATGAGAAGGTACAGAGATGCTTCAAGTGTAGGCTCTTGTAATGGGGTGCAGTGTAGTCTCACGCTGTTTCCCCCGTCACTCCACGCACACGTGCCCTCATCATCCCTCATACCCTTCTCCCATCCCGCGTCAGTCCGTCATCCGTCCATATGTGAATATTTGGAAGCAGTTGCGTGGAGTAAATTCTCCCCCAGGTTGTGTTACGGTTTCTCCTGCTGAAGTTTAAACCCTTGTCTCAGTAACTCCTGGGCGCGCAGTAGCGACCACTTTCCTTTCTCTGTCCCCAAATAAGAGGACTTAATATGTGAGATAATACACATTATAGGATGGTCAGATTAAAAAAAAAAACAAAACACTTTTTATTTTGTATTGGAGTGTAGTGGTTTAGGAGAAGGAAATGGCAACCCACTCCAGTGCTCTTGCCTGGAAAATTCCATGGACTGAGGAGCCTGGTAGGCTACAGTCCATGGGGTCGCAAAGAGTCGGACATGACTGAGCGACTTCTCAGGACAGGGCAGGATAGTGGATTGACAATGTTGCGACACACAGACTTGAAAAAAAACCACACTTTTTATTTTCTGCAGGAGTTTAGCGGATTGACAGTGTTGTGATGGTGTCAGGTGGGCTGCAAAGGGACCCAGCCGTACATGCACATCTATCCATTCGCCCCCAAGCTCCTCTGCCGTCCAGGCTGGCACACAGCACTGAGCAGAGTTCCTTGTTTATCCATTTTAAATAGAGCTGTGTGCACACGTCCATCCCAGGCTCGCTGACTACCCCTTCTCAGCATCCTTCCCGCCGGCAACGATAAGTTCCTTCTCTAAGTCTGTCGAGTCTCTTTCTGTTTGGTAAATAAGTTTGTTTGTATCATTTCTTCTTGGATTCCTCATATAAGGGGTGTCATTCCTGGGTGTTCATTGGAAGGACTGATGCTGAAGCTGAAACTCCAATACTTCGGCCACCTCATTGGAAAAGACCCTGATGCTGGGAGGGATTGAAGGCGGGAGGAGAAGGGGATGACAGAGGATGAGATGGCTGGATGGCATCACCGACTCGATGGACAAGAGTTTGAGTAAACTCCGGGAGTTGGTGATGGACAGAGAGGCCTGGCGTGCTACGATTCATGGGGTCACAAAGAGTCGGACACAACTGAGCGAATGAACTGAACTGAACTGAATATGCTATTTCTCCTTCTCTGTCTGATTTACATCTCTCAGTATGACCATCTCTAGGCCCGGGATGGAGAGATTTGAACCTGAGTGTGAGATGGGAAAACAGCAGTGCAGGCTTTTGTTTTGGGCAGAGTAAGTCAGATTTCTCAAAGAACACACCCTCATCCTCAAAAGGCTAGATTTCTGGGCAGATGGCAACAATCTTGCTGTGTTCACTTTTTGAAAGTGAGAGTTAGTTGCTCAGTTGTGTCCAACACTTTGCAACCCCGTGGACTGTAGCCCTCCAGACTCCTCTGTCCATGGAGCTCTCCAGGCCAGAATACTGGAGTGGCTTGCCATTCCCTTCTTCAGGGGATCTTCCCGACCCACGGGCTGAGCCCAGCTCTCCTACATTGCAGGCAGATTCTTTACTGCCTGAGCCACGAGCGCAGCCCAGACACGTGTTTAGAAGGGCCGGCGTCACAGCAGTGTCAAGCTGTAGCTCTGTGGGCTTGTGGTGCTCTGCTGTGGACTGTCAATTTTCCACATTCCTCTCCACATAACTCCCATCTTCCTAATCAGATCAGGATACATTTATTAAAAAAATGGAAAATCCAAGCCCGCCTGTGGCTTCTGTGTGTTGCGAAAGCTTGGTGAGAATTTGGCGCCACCCTGGGAGCGACAGCCTTTGCACAGGGGTGGGAAGGGGTGTTTGGCTCGGTCTCCTGGTTGGCGGGCTCCCTGCCCCACTGCACACAGCAGAGCGCCCGAGGCTCAGCGTTCTTGTTTCGTCCTCCTCCTCTAGGAAAACTACAATTTCTTGAACAAAAAAATCAGCTACAAGTGGGACTTCGTCGTCATGCAGGCCAGAGAGCAGTACCGGTGAGTCGGCGCTCACCCTGGTCCTCTCTGCCCTCCCTTCCTTCCTTGTTTCTTTAAAAAAATTAGCTTTTATTGGGCGTCTATGTGTTAAACAGCGGGCTGGGCGTGGGGAAGGGAGAGGCGTTGTCCAGGGAGCCTGGAAGACAGGCAGGCAGCCCACAAGGCCTCAGTGAGTAGAGGCGCACGTCTGGGTTTGGGAAGGAGCTGCAGAAGCAGCAGTGAGCCTGGAGGCAGCGGAGGGGGGTATCCGGAGGAGCGGTGGGGGCGAGGAGGGAGAGGAGCGGCGGGGTGGGGGGTGCCTGCCTGAAGCCGGGAGCTGGCACAGAGAATGGCAGGGGTGAGGCTGGATGTGTTAGCAGAAGCAGATTGGGAGAGGGTACTCTGCTCAGGACTGCCGGGTGGTGAGCAGCCTCAGTTCACAAGTCATGAGCTCAAAGAAGTTTATCTTTTTAAAAAATTTTTTATCAGAGTATAGTTAGAGAAGGAAATGGCAACCCACTCCAGTGTTCTTGCTTGGGAAAGTCTATGGACAGAGGAGCCTGGCGGGCTACAGTCCATGGGGTCACAGAGTCAGACCCGGCTGAGCGGCCACACAACAGTGGTTGATATACAGCGTTGTGTTAGTTTTGGGTGTGTGGCAAAGTGAATCAGTTACACATACACATATGCCCAGTCTGTTTTAGATTCTTTTCTCATGTGGGTCAGTGCAGAGTATTGAGTCGAGTTCCCTGTGTATACAGTAGGTTCTTACTTGTTGTCTGTTCTATATACGGTAGCGTGTCTACGCCAGTCCCAATCAAAGAAGCTTCTCTGATGAGCAGTTATTACTGCACGCAGATCGCCCTGAAGCTTCGTGCTCAAAACGGCAACAGTTGTTTTACCTCTCAAGGAAGTTTCTGTAGCTGTGGAATCTGGGACGGCTTCTTGTGTGGTTGCAGTCATGAAATAGCCACACAAGTAGTCAGGAAATAAATATAAAATTACATACTGGGCCGTGAACTTAAAGGACATGCTCTGTGCACTCTCATGCAGAATCAGGGATGGCCCCTGTGGTGCTTTTTAAATCTGTCTGCAGTTCTGAGGGCGTCCCAGCTGGCTCAGTGGTAAAGAGTTCACCTGCAATGCAGGAGATGCCGGGTCGATCCCTGGGTTGAGAAGGTCCCCTGGAGAATCCCACGGCCAGAGGAGCCTGGTGGACCACAGTCCGTGGGGTCACAGAGAGCTGGACGCTGTGCGCCTGAGCACACATGTACAGTTCTGCGACCCTCCTCCACCATGAGGAGGAGGGCTTGGAGTCATCCCCTCCTCCCCTCGGGGTCTCTCCAGGAGGTCTGCCTTGGGCCTGGCTCACAGCATCTGGCATCTCACCACCTACAGGTGGTCGGACGCTCTGAGGGCAAACACCACAGGGAAGGAGGGTGGTGGCAGCCCCCTGTGATGGCCCAGCCTCGGAAGCTGTGCGGTGCCGTCTTCCTGACGTGCTCTATTGGTCAAGACAGCTGGAAATCCCCACCCGGTCTCTGTGGGGGAGGACACAGACCCACCTCACCATGGGGGGAACCACAGACAGATTTATAAAGCGCCGCAGTGGCCGTCCCTGATGCTGCATGCAGTACACGGAGGGTGTCCCTAGAGCACACAGCGAAACTTGTGATTTCACATTTGTTTCTTGACTCTCTCTGTAACATTTAGACCAGAAGCTATTCAAGGGCAAGACACATGTTTGCGTGTCATGCTGCTGGGCTGCCGTTGTGAAATACCGTTCCCTGGGTGACTTAGAAGACATTCATTTTCTTGCGGGCCTGGAGGCAGAGAGGTCAGGGTTCACAGTTCTGCCAGGGTCTGGTTTCTGATGGTGACTCTTCTCGGCTTGCAGGTGGCTGGTGGTCTTTTTGTTGGGGTGAGGGTGGTGGGGAGAGGAGGCTGGCCTGTGTCTCCTGTGTCCAGGGCACTAATCCTATCCTAAGGGCCTCACCCACATGGCCTCATCTAACTGCTTCTAAACTCTAAGTGCTTCTTAAAGGCTCTGCCTCCAGGTACGATCACACTGGGAGCTAGGGCTTCAGCGTCTGAATCTTGGGGGAGAGTTGCTAACATTCAGACCTTCACAGTCTGGTTCTCCCAGTGCTTGGATCAGAGTGGCGATCAATAAATACAACATTGAATGACTGTGGGAGTGAGTGAATAATTGACTGATTAAGGAATACTTTTGCTTTAAAGATCATAAAGTGACAAAGATAATCCCTTGCCCATGGTTCTCTTGGAGCCCATTCCTCATGACTCTCCTCCAATAACCTCCAGCAGATGAGCAAGCCAGAGAGGACACGGCAGTAAATTAGACCTCAACTGTATTTCCAGAGCTGCCAGCATTACGGAAAGTCCCCAGTGCCCCAGGCCATCTGTGGCCCATCTTCCTGGCTAGTTAACCCAGTAGAAAATCCACTTAGGTTGGCAAGGGGACAGTGTTTGTAGTTAACTCCAGAAGAGGTTGCAGAGTGCCCCACAGGAAGGGCCCTCCCCGCCCACCTTGCTGGCTGGGTGTTCTAAAGTTACTCACAACACGTGAGCTGGCACATGAACCCGCCGACCGAGTCTTGAGAGGGTGTGTGCGTCATCCTGCGTTGCCTGGGAGAACGAGCCTCCCCGAGCAGAGCGCAGGTTGTCGTGGAATCGGCGCTGACGGGCCCACGGTGGGATAACGAGCACGGCCTCGCTTCCTACCTGTGAAGTCAGGGGACACTGCGATGGGAGGGAACACAAGTAACCTTTCCCAGGAATCTGGGGATTCAGGAAAACCCTGACTTGGCACAAATTCTCTGAAGCAGCAGAGTGGAAGTGATGCTGGAGAGAAGCTGGGACTCCCCCGTGCAGGCTCCCACGTTGCCGGCCGCCCCCTCTCTCGGATGTTGATGATGTTGTTTGTCAGAACAGGGAAAGTTCGGAAGCCGGTGGGCGAATGTCAGCCCAGAAAGTCCTCCAAACTCCTGCAGGGGCGGCGCGGGTGGGGATGGTCTGACCCTCAGCTGGTCATGGGGCCTCTATCGCCTCGTGCCCCGTGCTCTCTGGGGGAGCTGGACTCTAGGGCCCGTTCCCAGTTCAGGTCTGGCCTCTGCCCCCTGCTGACCCCGTGACCCTCAGTGGGGTCTCAGCCTCTCTCTGCTTCAGTCCCTAGGCTGCTCACGGGGAGGATTTGATGAGTCAATATGTATAGAAGTATTGAGCAGGGTACTCAGCACTTAAGTGTGGTGTTAAGGTTTGCTATTTTCATCATCGTCATTATTATTATGGCAAATACAGCTTATCTGGGCAGATTGGGAGAGTGGTCCGGAATGAGGCCCATCGGGAAGGGGGTCCATCGGGAAGGGGGTCCATCGGGAAGGGGGTCCATCAGTGAGCAAAAGATGCAGCATCTTCCTGGCCTGCAGCATGGCTTGTGGATTTTCAGGGCCGGGAAGGAGCGGAACAAGGCGGACAGGTTCGCGCTGGACTGCCAGGAGAAGGCGTACTGGCTGGTGCACCGATGCCCTGTGAGTACCACCCTCCTAGTTCACCCGCCTCTTCTCATGCTGCCTTCCCCGCTCGTACTCCCTACCCCGTGCAGCTCGGCCGTCTGGGGCTGGAGCTGAATCTTCAGGAGCTCAGTGTTGGCTAGCGCCCAGGGCCCTCTGGCTGGAAGAGGAAATTGACTGGATGGATGGAGTCTGCCCATGGCCCGCCCGTTGGTGTCAGGATGGAGCGAAGTTCCCTAACCAAGGGACCAGAATGAGTCTGTCTTGTGTGAGGGCTGGGACTCGATGCCTTGGAAAAAGAATTTAAGAAGAAAAAACTGCACTTCTCTGGGGGTCCAGCAGTTAAGACTCTGCTCCCAGTGCAGGGGGTTAGGTTCAATCCCTTGTCGGGGAACTAAGATTACACGCATCGCACGGTGCGGCCAAAAAATTAAGAAGAAGAAAGAACTAGAGCCCAGGCCTCACGGCAGAAGCAACCCCCCGCTGCGGGAACTGGAGTCGCCTCGCAGCGGTGGCCATGCCATGCCGTTTCTTCACCTCCTCTCCGTTCCTCGTCCGGGTCCGGTCCCGCTGGCGAGGACGGTAGGAGTGGGTGAGCATGTGCTCAGCCTCGTGGTTTTGAGCGCGGGGCTCGGGGGCGGTAAGTGGCCGAGAGAGACCAGTCGGCTCTCTGACGGCTAGCTGACGGCTAGGTGCCCCGTCAGCTTGTTCCCCGGAAGGCCGACCCCGTCCCCCAGCGCGGCAGAGGCTGTGCCCGCCACAGGGAACGCCGCTGTCTCTGTTCACGCCTGCATTGGACCCCGACTGCTGCAGGCAAAGGGATTTGAAGTCAGGTGTTGAGAATAGAGTTCCTTCTTGTCCTCCTTTGATTTTTGTGCCTGACCGGGAACCGAGTTCTCAGAACCACGGTGACCTGCGTCTCCCACGGTGTCCAATATCCTGGACTGTTTGAACTTGGAGCCCATCAGGGTTTGGCCATTTTGCTCATTTTCTTTCTGGATTCAGAACAGACAGCCCATAGATGTTCCATCTGTGAAGGCGTTGGTGCGGACGCCGTGCTGACCTGGGCTCCGCGCTAGGCCTCATTATGCAATTTCTTTCTCCTTTAGAAGAAGCTTCTCTCTCTTTGGTTGTCTCAGGTCCTCGCTGCAGCACGCAGGGTCTTTGGTTGCGGCATGTGGGGTCCAGCTCCCTGACCGGGGGTGGAAGCCGGGCCCTTGCATTGGGAGCACGGAGTCTTGGCCACAGACCAGCAGGGACGTCCCTGCTCGCACGTTCTTATGTCACCTCTCGGCCCATGTGGGAGGCACTGTAGTTAGTCCTATTTTTCTGATGAGGGAGCAGAGCCCCAGGGCTGGTGCTGACTCCTGTTAGAGCTGGAGGCCCCACTCTCCCTCCTGGAGAGCTCCTCTGCCTCCTACGACAGCGTCACGTGGTGTCACTGGGTGTGCAAGGCCTTTGTCACCTCCTTGGTCATTACAGCATTGTGTGATTGCTGCTCAGAGGTACCTGCCCCCTCGTGGATGGCCCTGGGGAGCTGTGTTCAGAACGAGGCCTGATGTGAAAGAGCAGATGTGAGCAGACATGAATAGATGTGAACACACATGAACAGATATGAGCACATGTGAACAGACGTGAGCACATGTGAAAGATGCGAGCAGACATGAGCCGACGTGAGCACACATGAGCAGACATGAACCGATGTGAGCAGTCGTGAGTAGATGTGAACAGATGTGAACACACGTGAACAGACAGACGTGAGCACATGTGAACAGACATGAGCAGACGTGAGCAGACATGAAAAAATGTGAGCACATGTGAACAGACGTGAGCAGACAAAGCCGCTCTTGCACCCCGGCCCCCTCCCGGCTGTCCTGCTCCATCGGAACTGGACCGGGAGTTGGGGATGAGACCAGGGTGTCCCTGAGTCTCCTCTCCCCAAGTTTTTTAAACCTCTCAGCCTCTTGGTGGCCTGGAGCATCGGGATGAGGAGCATTCGCTTTGAAGTCTGTCTCGGGCGGGGATGGAGCGATCCAATGGACAGGCCAGCAGCCCAGGCTGTCGGACGTCTCCAGGAGCACTCACTGAGAGCGCCCACCCTGGGCTGCACGCAGCCGCGCGGCTCCCTGTCTGCTGATGGCCACCCTCGCCCCTGTTTCCTATGCCCTGACATCAGCTCTGAGGGGTCTCCATTCCAGCTGCCTCTGGGGTCCCAGAAACTGCATCAGAGTGTGGGTCAAGTGTATATGTGTATGTGAGAGAGAGAGTAAGACTTTCCCGTCTCCCCGGGATGGGAGGTCCCAGATGGCTGCCTGCACCAAACAAACAGAGGAAGTGAAAGACCTGAACTGCTGGCCCGAAGGAGTCCAGAGCTGGAGCAGGACTGGCCGGGGAGGCGGCCTGGTGGAGGCGGCAGAGCCGGAGACCAGCTCTGGGCCAGGCTTCTCCACCAGGCTCTCAGGGTGAACATGAGGCCTTGCCTGGTGACAGCAACCATCTCTTGTGAGCGTCCATCGTGCTAAATCCTCACAAGAACCAGACAGACAGGAGGGGTCACCTCTGGTTCTCAGGGCAGAGAGGAGAAGTTGTTTCCAAATCCTCCTCCCAGCTGGGAGACAGCAGAATCCAGATCAGAACTTCTGGGTGCTTGACTGAAGCCTGGACTCTCCAGAGCAGTGAACCGTGGAGCAGAGCGGTCAGGAGGCCCCTGTGCCAATCCCATGAACTCCGATCCAGTCTGGTGTTGTATATCCACCCACCCATCCTTCCATCCATCCACCCATCCATTTATTTATCCATCTATCCACCCAGTCCCTTGGACTGCAAGGAGATCAAACCAGTCCATCCTAAAGGAAATCAACCCTGACTATTCATTGGAAGGACTGAAGCTGAAGCTTCAATGTTTTGGCCACCTGATGCGAAGAGCCAACTCACTAGAAAAGACTCTGATGATGGGAAAGATTGAAGACAAAAGGAGAAGAGGGTGGCAGAGGATGAGATGGTTAGATAGCATCACTGACTCAATGGACATGCATCTGAGCTAACTCTGGGATATAGTGGACAGAGGAGCCAGGCGTGCTTCAGTCCATGGATCACAGAGATTTGGACCTGACTTAGTCACTGAACAACAACCACCACCGCCCCCCCCCCCCCCACCTATCCATCCATCAATCCATCCATCCATCCATCCTCCCTCCCTTCCTCTGGGGATGCTGTGGTGGTGGAAGACACCCCCCCCCCCCACACACACACCTGGGGAACTTCACACCCCTGTAGCTAACCAAAGACTGGGCCACAACCCTCAGCTTGGTCTCATGGTGGGCAGCTTGGCCAGAATCCAAAGTTAATCAGAAACCGGAGACTCTCCCTACAGTGGTCCTTACATTGTTTTTTCCTCATTCAGCCGGGAGTGAACAACGTGCTGGACCACGGCCTGGACCGAGTGACTAATCCAAATGAAGACCAGGTAAACCAGGTCAGTCCCTGCTGCGTGCATTGGGCGGGGCCTGGGTCAGGGGTGCCTTAGGCTGGGCGGGTGTCCATGTGTCTGTCTGCGTCTGTAGGGCAGTGGTACCTCCGCTCTGAGATGGCCAGGGAGAGGAGTGCTCTGGTGTCAGAGAGGGGAGGCCAGCGCAATGGGGTCTAATGGTTGGTTTTCAGACGCCTGAAATACTTCCCTCTTTGAAAATCTGATGAAACTTATCAACCCATTTCAGCCAGAGAGGCACAAACAGGCCTTTTGCACACCGTTTCCACTGATTCCCTTCCCCCTCAAAGACACTAGGCCCAGGCTCACAACCCTTGAATCAACTTTGGGTTTAAACCTCAATCCACACGACAGGACCTGGTCTTGCTTTTTTTTTTTTTAAAAAGATCCCTTTCCCCAGTAGGCCACCACTGATGATGAACCATTTCCTATGATGGGTTTTTATTTAAGGAAATGTGGTTCAGAAGCTGCTGAAACAGAGGACACCCCAATTAGGGCTTCCCAGGTGTGGCACAGTTATTTGGGGCAGATAGTTCTGTGGGGCTGTCCCGTGCCTTGTGGGGGGGTCCACAGCACCCCTGGTCTCCCCCACTGGATATCTGTAGCTCCGAGCATCTCCCTGATGCCTCCCAGTCCAGAAATGTCTCCAGACATCATCTGGTGGCCTTGGGGGCCAAGACTGTCCAGGCTGAGCTGAGAACACGGGTCCCAGTAAACCAGCCTATCCCCACTTAAACTAGCTGTGGGCGGTTCCCTTGCTTTCTGTCCACGCTGTCATTGGCAGCAAGCAGCCAGGGGCCGCGTTAGCCTCGTGTGTCACCTGTAAGCCTCAGCAGTACCTGGAAATGCTGGCAGGAGGTCTGACTTGTGTTCTTAGCCCACGGAGACCCGGAGCTCCGGATGACTGTGGGGACCTCCACCAGTGCATACAGGTTTTGGGTGGGGTCTGCATGGAGGGTGTCCATACCCAGAGGGCACCTCGGGGACTCCACTGGGCCCCCTGTCCCTAATTCAGAGCCCCCCTCCCTTGATACATGTTTGGCACCATCAGCGGCCTTTTCCACATTCCCTGCGTCAGATGACAGATAATTGCCCAGGCCTTGTCGGCTTGGTTGCCATGGAAACAGCATCATCAAGGAAAATACTGAACAGGGAAATTTGCTTTTGTAATGGATGACTGGCAGCTCTGGAAACCTGTGTGTGGGGGGAGGGAGGCCCGTCACTCAGTCTGACCAGCCACACACCACACATGCGTGTGCGTATTGTGTATATGTGTGTATGTGTGTGCCTGTGTATTGTGTTTGTAGCTTTCTGTGTGTGTATGCTGTGTGTATGGCATGTGTATATGTATGTCTTTCTGTGTGTGTTGTATGTATGTATTTTATGTATATATGCATGTGTGTATGTGTTTGCATTATATGTGTATATGTGTCTCTGTGTATGTTATTATGTGTGTATGTATGTATATGTATATGTGTGTGAGCATTGTGTGTGTCTCTATGTGTGCATGTATATGCATGTGCATGTGTTATGAATGTGTATATGTGTGTATGTGTGTGTATTGGGTGTGGATGTATGTGTATTTGTGTACGTGTGTACATGTGTATTGTATGTGCATCTGTGTCTATATGTGTGTTGTATGTGTGTGTCTGTGTGTATTGTGTGTATATATGTATGTGTGTCTGTGTGTATGTATGTGTTGTGTGTCCCTCTGTGTTGTGTGTATATATATGTATGTGTATTGTGTGTATGTGTATGTATCATATGTGTACGTGTGTGTATGGTGTGTATATGTGTCTCTCTGTGTATATATGTGTGTTGTGTGTCTCTGTGTATTTTGTGTATATATGTATATGTGTCCCTGTGTATGTATGTGCGTATCTATGTGTATTATGTGTATGCATGTGTTTTGTGTGTATGTGTTTTCTGTGTGTGTGCGTGCTGTATGTATGTGTGTTGTGTGTGTATGCGCGCTCTATGTGTGTCTCTGTGTCTCTGTGTGTATGTATGCGTGTATTGTGTCTGGGTATGTATGTATGCATGTATGTGTGTTGCATGCATGTGTGTCTGTGTGCTGTGTGTCTGTGTATGTGTGTATGTATGCGTGTATTGTGTCTCTGTGTATGTATGTGTGCATGTATGTGTATTGTGTGTGTGTGCTGTGTGTCTGTGTATGTGTGTATGTATGCGTGTATTGTGTCTCTGGGTATGTATGTGTGCATGTATGTGTTGTGTGTATGTGTGTGTATGTGTGTGTGAGCGTTGTGTGTATGTATGCATGTGTATTGTGTGCGCATGCGCTGTATGTGTGTCTCTGTGTGTATGTTGTATGTATGCGTGTATTGTGTCTCTGTATGTATGTGTGTTGTGTGTCTGTGTGTGTGTATGCATGTGTATTGTGTGTACGTGTGTATGTGGCAGAGGCGGGCCCTGGAGGGGTGGCTGGGGTGCTGAGTGAGCGGCTTCACGGGGGTGCTCTGCCCAGGGGGTGGCCAGCCCCTCCTGCCTGAGGCAGGGTCCTCAGGGCCCCTGTCTGGGCAAAGGCAGGCGACGCGCTCAGCCTGGAGCCCGAGCCGAGGATGGGGAGGCTGCGGCCGCGGTGCCGGGGGGGGGGGTGCGGGGGCGCCCGGTGGGCGGGGGGTGGGGGTGGGCGGCGGGGGGCAGGGGCGCCGGGTGGGCCGGCGGCTGGGGGCGGTGTGCTCGGGGGCGGGGCGGAGGCACGGGGGGGGGGGGCGCCGGGGGGGGGTGGCGGCAGGGGCGCTGAGTCGGGGGCGCGCGCTGCCGGTGGGCGTCGCAGCCGGGTACCCACTGTCTTTCTGTCTCTCTCCCACCAGCTCCCCGCCTCCGTCTGCACTGGGCTGCCCTGGCGCCTTAAGAAGAACAAAGACCTGTAACTCTCCTGCTTGCGGGCCCCTCCCCGGCCCTCCGCCCGGGCCCAGGGCGCCCCCTGCCTCAGCTGGGCCGTGTCCCCGCTGTCTGGCCCGAGCGGAGGGTGCAGGGAGTGCGCAGCGTGTCCGGGGGCTGGGTGTCCAGAGGCGTGGGATTTCCGCCTTACTTCAGAGACTGTCTCGCGGTGCTGGTTTGAAGAGGGCTCGTTTCTGGCAATTTGTAAATTCTTGGAAAGACCTCTTTTCCTTAAACAGAAGCAAATGAGCCAAGAACTGTAAACACCGTGGAGAGAGGACAGAGGCTGGGGTTGGCAGGTGCCCGGGGCCCTGGGAGACTCTGGCTGGTGGCCGCCGGCGCCGCCCAGCCCGGGGAGGAGCTGGCGGAGCGGGGTGACCCAGGGAGCGGGTCCTCTTGGTCCCGTCGGCCCGGGGCGGGTGGGGAGCCCTTTATCTCAGAGAGCACTTGTCCCCACGCGGAGCAGGCTGAGTGCCGGCCCGCCCCCAGCCTGGCTGTGGGCAGTGGAGCCGGGCCGGCCCTCCCCTGGGCTCCAGCAGGGTCTCCAGGTCGTTCTGTGCCGGGGCCGGTGGGGGCTCTGACATCAGGGTAGGCCTGCTCCCATCTTCTGCAGTTGTGTGATATCGGACAAGCTGTGGCTCAGGCAAGCTCTCGAGCGCAAAGCCTCAGTTTCCTTGTCTGTAAAATGGGAATATGGATAGTGCTTCCTTCAGGGACTGAGCGAGGTCATTTATGCCAAGCGTTTGGAGCGGGATCGGGGTTTGGGGCCCTGGGCACAGCCGTGTGCACTGTTGTCACGACCGTCTCTCTGCTGCAGGAGACCGAATCTGTGGGGCCCGGAGACCCTCGGCCCTATCTGGGGGGCTCTCCCTCACCCCAGGTTTTCCCCAGCATCCTCGTCTCTTCTCATCCTTCTGCCCTGACTGTTGGCGGCTGAGGCAGGCCCGCCCCAGCGCCACCGCCCTGCCTGGCCCCGTGGACGGCTGCGGAGAGCAGCGCTGTCCACACTGGTGGCCCCTCCGGCCTTTGGGGGATGTGATGTGCCCTGCGGAGCCCCGGCCAGGCGCCCTCCATGAGCGACACCCGTCGCCCTGTGTGTCCCCACCAGCCGGGGACAGACAGCTGTCTTCCTCTGGCTCCTGTGCAGCCAGCGTTGACAGGGGCATCCCTGGGTGCCTCGCCCCGCCGGGGCTCCTTGCGGACTCAGCGAGCAGCTCCTGACGCGGGAGCTCTGGCCTCTGTGTTCACAGTTGGGGAGACAGGCGTGGGGGTGGGCTGCTCGTCCCGGACACACTCTCGGGGCTGGTGAAGCCAGGTGTGAGCTGACGGGCCCCGAGCCCCCTCGGGGTCCTGTTGATGTGTCCCGATGTCCACTGTGCGGCTTCTGGAGGCTTTGCTGGAGTTTATTCTCTTCTCCCAGCAGTATGATGAGAAAGGTCACGCCAGTTCCATTTTGCAGAGAGACTGAGCCGTCTGCTCAGGCTGGGCCAGCCAGGGGGCGTGTGGGTCCTCCCGGTTCTGTAGCCCCTGCTCCTCCGGGTACTGCCTCCCCATCCCCAACCGCACCCTGCGGTCCTGCGCCTGGGGCCCCCTTCATGGCAGGGTCTGTGCTCAGGCCCCCAGCTCTACGCTCAGCAGACCCGTGCTTGCCTTGGTGCTCTGCTGTTCTAGAACCTTCTCTAGGTCCCTGGTCCCCTGGAATCCGGGCGGTTAGTCCTGCCCCCATCGGGAAGGACACTGTGGCGCAAGGACTCCTTCCGATGCTCACAGCCTCGGATTCTCGTCTCCTTGGACGGCTGGCTGCCCCCTTCTCTTTTCCGGTCTGCTTTGCGTTAACCGCTGTAGCTCTCGGGTTTCCTGGTTTCTGGCTTCCTCCGCTCTCAAGGCCTGTGTTGCCGGCATCCCTGGGGTCCTCCACACCTTACGCTTCACTCCACGGCTTGCCCGGACCTCACCGCTGTTTCTGCACAGATGCCTGCCTGACTGCCTGACCCCAGGGCCCCGGGGTTGCCCGGCTTCAGTCTCTGTCACCCCACGGCGGGACCTTGAGGCCTCCTGCCTGAGTCCATCGTCTGCAGCCTGCGTCTGGGTCTCAGGACTGGCACGCGGGCCACGGGGCTGTGTGTAAACAGGCTCTGGACGTGTCCCTATTTGGGCAACTCTGGAAAAATCCCAAGCCAGAATCCAAGGAATGCAGAGAATGCCAAGATCCCTTGGGTGGAGTGCTCCCCCTGTAACAGCGTCCTCCCTGGGCTGTATAAAGAGGTGACCTCACTCTGGGAGGACCAGCTGCAGAGCCAGCGGGGTTTATGCCTGCCTTCCCGGGTGCAAGACGTGTTTGTCTCTAGTCTTACCAGGAGACGGCTTTCTCAGAATTGCCTAGAAATACACGTGTGTGTGCTGTTTAATGGGATTCCCTGGTGGCTCAGATGGTAAAGAGTCAGCCTGCAATACGGGAGACCCGGGTTCCATCCCTGGGTTGGAAAGATCCCCTGGAGAAGGAAATGGCAACCACGCCAGTATTTTTTTTTCATTTATTTTTATTAGTTGGAGGCTAGTTACTTTACAATATTGTCATGGTTTTTGCCACACGTTGACATGAATGTTTCTTACCACCTTTTCTGCTCCCCTGGTGGTTCAGAGGTAAAGAACCCACTTGCCAATGCAGGAGACTTGCAGGAGATGCAGGTTTGATCCCTGGGTGGGGAAGATCCCCTGGAGAAGGAAATGACAACCCACTCCAGTACTCTTGCCTGGAGAATCCCATGGAGGGAGGAGCCTGGCAGGCTCCAGTCCAGAGAGTTGCAAAGAGTCTGACACGACTTAGCAACTGAGCACATGCACGCATGGCCTTTTCTGTACTGACAGTAATAATCATGTTGATAGGTTTGTGAGGCTTAGCAGATAAAATACAGGAAGCCCAGTTAAGTTTAAATTTCACGTAAGCAGCAGATCCTCCTGTTGGTGTGACTGTATCCCCAGTATTTGTATCCTGATTTGCCTCCTGACCGGGGCTCGCGCGGTACCTGCGCATTCTTGGCAGAAGCATCTGAGCCCTCATCAGCAGCCAGCGCTTAGGGTCCCGCCCATGCCAGTCACTCCGGACAATGTCATCCAGTCTCCATTTTCTGCCCCTCTTTACAGATGAGAAAGCAGAGGCTTTCAGATGCCAGATAACTTATCCAGAGTCAGGTAGCCAAGAAGTGAGAGAACAGGGAGTTTGACCTTTCTGACGCAGAAAGTGGATGCTCTCAATGACCCCCACCCTGTCACATTCTCTGTCTTTTCAGAGAAGTCCAGAACCCTCTCTCCTACTGCCAAGGTATACACCCTCCAGACAGGAGAGACTCCCTATAGGTTAACCTAGAGGAGGCAGGTCTCATGGGCAGAAGGTTGTTTTTTTTTAATGACAATTTTTTTTTCTTTTAATAGTTGGGCTTCCCAGGTGGCGCTAGTGGTAAAGAACCTGCCTGCCAATGCAGGAGATATAGGAGACGTGGTTTCTATCCCTGGGTTGGGAAGATCCCCTGGAGAAGGAGATGACAACCCACTCCACTATTCTTGCCTAGAGCATCCCATGGACAGAGGAGCCCGGTGGGCTACAGTCCATGGGGTCACAGAGTCAGACATGACTGAAGTGACTTAGCACGCATGCAGTAGCTTCACAGTGTTGCATTTTTGTGTACCACGAGGTGAATCAGGTATCTGTGTACATGTATCCCTTCCCTCTCGGACCTCCCTCCACCCCACGCTGGACATCAGTTCTTAAAGTTAGAAATAAATGCTGACGCCCATGCGGGTGATCCAGGGTGGAGGTGGACAAGCTCTTAGACCCCAAGCAACCTGCTGCAGTCTGATTCCCAGGAGATCACTGGTAGTTTGGGGGAACCAGAAAGCCCACAGCAAGCCCAGTGCCCTGAGAGGACAGTAAAGTCAAGAAGGGAATTAAAATATAAAAAAGTTTAACACCCTGAAGACCGAGATAGTGGCCCCAGAAATGACAGGTATCAGGCTGAAGTCAGCCCACGCCGAGTAGACCAGAAGTGAATGTGCTGGTGGTTGGAGGTGTGTGAGGCCAGCTCCCTGGGGGCCCAGAGACCATGGGCAGGCTGGACTGCGTGTCTCGTCCGTGTCTGCCCACACAGGGCGCAGGGCTGGGAACAGTGGCTCGTCCTGGGGCCTGGGCACCGAGGGAGGGTGTCTGAGACGCTGCCCGCTGGGCACCCCGAATACAGTTGCAGTCTTTACCAGCGTCAGTGTTTCCATGCTCCAGCCTTGTTGAGATATTGTTGGTGTTATAACATGTGCAGGTCTCAGGGGTACAGTGGGTGGTTAGATGCGAATAGATACGGCAAAGTGCCTTCCACCAATGCGGTCATACCTCCACCCCTGATGTAATTGCAACTTTGTGGGGTAACGGTTAAGATCTATGCTCTGCACGACTTCTAAGTGTGTGATGCAGCATCGTTAATGATGGTCACCGGGCTGTGTGTGAGATCCCAGGCCTTATTTCTCTTCCAGCCGGGAGCGTGTTTTACCGTCGTTAGTGCTGATTAAAGAGTGCGTCAGGTGTGTGCTTCCTCTTGGATTGGGGCGCGGGTGTTCTTTTTTGGTTTGGGTTTCTCTTTTTGTTTTTCATGTTTATTGGAGTGTAGCTGATTCACAGCGTGGTGTTAGCTCACATGTACAGCGGAGTGAATCCGTTCAATGCACACACATCTCTTCTGTTTTGGATTCTGTTACCGTATGGGCCACGACAGACTGCTGAGGAGAGTTCCCTGGGCTGCGCGGCAGGCCCTCATTCTTTATCTGTTTTATATGAAGTAGTGTCTCGTGGCCGGACGGGGGCATTCCATTCGGCACTTAGCCTCAGCTTTGGGGCACGTGAGGAACTGGTGAACAGAACAGACCGTTTTCTGATTCTCCAGGATCACTGCTCAGATTTTTTTGTTTGCAAACAGCCTTTTTTCAGCCTTTCTTGCTATTATTCTTGTTTTCTCTTGGCCGCACTGTGCTCCATGTGGGATCTTATCTCTCTGACTGGGGATGGAACCCGAGCCCCCTGCAGTGGAAGCTCAGTCTTAGCCGCTGGACCACCAGGGAAGCCCCACTTCTCCGCTTTGCCAAGGTCACATCTGGGTTTGAATCCTGGTTCAGCCAGTTACCAACCAGGAGACATCAGAACCTTGGTTTCCTCAGGCGAAAATTAGAATAATAAAACCTCCCTCCCTTAAACTTTCTAAGGGCTCAGAGAGGTGTAAATTGCTTTGTACCTAGCTATTTTTGTGTGATTATTATCACACAGAAGTCCAGCTTCTCTTTTGAGCAGAAGGCATAAACCAGTAGATACTCTTCTTAATCCACTTGCACGTGACTTGAACAGAAGCATCTGATTATATTAGATTTGAATGCAAATCCACCCTGACCCTGGGGTCCTTTTCTACCTGAAATGTGTGTCTTCTCATCCAGCCCTGTGTTAGGAGAGCATAGGAACAGATAATTAGTGTAATTGCCAAAATATTTGGGCCACTTGGAAAGTGTTCTCAGTTTTTTAAGCAGAATAATATTCCCTTCACCTTAAAATGCATCTCCATTTTCCTCAGCCTCCAAGCACACAGCCGTCATCATTTGTCTGGTATTTAGTGGGCGTCTCCTCCATGCCCCACGTTACGCTCAGGAAGATGAACATGGCCTTCCTGCTCCTAGTAGTGCCTGATGGGTGATGCATGGGTTAAACAGAGAGCTGCACAAACAGTATCTAATTCTGGTTGTGATGAGTGCGATGAAGGAGGAAGTGTGTGTGGGGATGTGGGTCAAATCAGAGAGGTGTGCCCGGGCGCTCCCTTCCTTCATTAAAAAGTATTTACCTCTTCTCTTTGACTGTGTCCAGTCTCAGTTTGGCCGTGGCCCCCGGAGTGCACAGACTCTAGCTGTGGTGTAGGTACTCAGTTGCCTTGTGGCGCGTGGGAGCTTAGTTCCCTGAGCAGGGATCGAAGCCACGTCCCCTGCATTGGAAGCTGGATTCTTAACCCCTGAACCACCAGGGAAGTCACATGTTGTCTTTCTGAGATCACTTGTCCTAGCTTCCCACCTTGAGAAAAGCAATCACATGAAAATAATTTAATGATGCAAAGTGAAGAAAATGATGCAAAGTAGAAAGGAGACTCATGTGGACGTTCCAGCTCAGACCCTCCTTCCTTCCTTGTCACTGGGCTCTGGCCCAGGACTTACTTTACTAGCCGGCTAAAGGAAACCGTGTCATCCTTGGACTTTTCTAGAGATGCAAACCCGGTGGCACTCAGCAGCATGGGTGTTAGCCGCCAGGAATGGAGATGCTCAGCTTGACCTGCCAGAGTTACACTAGGCGGGCCTTGGATACAACCAAACCTAGGAAAACTGGTTTCGGAAGCACCAGGTGTACCAAGCCTCCTAGAGTTGGATGGGGCAGACACATGATACCAAGGACGCGTGTCAGATAGTGGGAAGGTTCAGGAAGAGGCAGGTCTGAGTGGTTTCCGGGAGCTTCCAGGATCCTAAACAGGGGGCTCCTCTCAGAGCTGTCCTTCCTCTGCTGTGAAAATCCAGACCGAGGATGGAGCCCGAGGTGAGAGCTTCCACACTAACGGCTCAGCTTGCAGTGGAGGCTGGTCTTGAGTCTTTGAAGTGTGTGCTTTATTTTAGGTGGCGTGGCTTTTCCCTGCAACATCGAGTACTGGCCAAGTGGCTAGTTCCCCCACCGGGTGTTCTGTAGGCACCGTGGTGGATTGGGAGCAACCCTGAACTTGGTCTTCGGTTCATCTTGGCTTTTAGGAGAGTAGGATAAAGTTATAGCGGCAAAGCACCCCCTTCTGTCACCAAACCTCTCAGCTGATCTAATTCTCCAGCAGTTGTGCAGAACAGGGTGGAACAAGTGGTGATGGGGAAATTCTGTCTTTAAAGTAAAAAAAACAAAGATGGGCAGTGTTCTCTTGGGGAAGGGTTTTTATGTTTCAGATGGGTATTTGGACTCTAATGATTTCATGACGTCTGTTTAATGGTTTTTGCTTCTTTGTTTTTACAGAAACAGACAGTGGTTTCTGTCAGGAAAGAGGTAATTAGCCTCCCAGTTTCAGGGAAGTCTGATTTTTAATCCTCTAACAAATTATATGTGCTTTGGCTTCCTGCTCTGCACTCAGTGATGAAATGAGAACCATGTGTAAGGTTCAGACAATTGTCTACAAAGTAATGGGTGGCACAGAACGCCAAAGCATGTCTTGTAAGATGTGCGTGGGGTTGAGCTCTATGCGGGACATGAAGCACCCTCCGAAGGTGCAGATCCGAGGGACGTGGGGGAACCCTGGTTCCCGCTCTTAGAGTCAGAGGAGCTGAGCGTCTGTCCAGGGTGACGGGCTAACCACGTGGGCAGACCTTCTATCCAGGGCCCAGGACAGATGGGCTGGTATCGATGGCCGTGAGGGTAGATCTGTGCATCAGAGGCATCTGGGGAAATGCTAAGCCTTTGTCTCAGTTTGGAACTTTCACTTTTCCCCGGTGGTGTCTTTTCCGAGACGAACACACGATGAGTTAAGGCTGCTCATGTGGAGTTGTGTGTGTGTGTGTTGCAGACCTGATTCCTGTGTGCTGCAGACCTGATTCCTGGGGTCCTGGGGGGCAGGCTTGAGGGGGCGGGATGAGGTGCTGTGATGGGGAAGCAGCTTCTAGTTCAGAGTTGCGTGTAGGCGTCGGCGTTGGCGGCACCCCGGGAGGGGCGGTCTAACCACTGTGTCTCTTCCAGATCATGTATTACCGACAGGCCTTGATGAGGTCCACGGTGAAGTCGTCCGTGTCCCTTGGAGGGTAGGTCTCTAACCTGTTGCTCTTGCTGAGGTTGGCACGGCAGGTGGTCAGGCAGGAGAACTTCTGCCTTAAGGAGGACTTGACAAGTCGTGGTTGGCTTGGGATTCCTGAGGACGGAAAGGGACAAAAGCAGCCTCACGGGGGTTAAGTTGGGTCGGCCTCCAGGCCTCGGGTGAGGAATAATCAGGTGGGTGAGGCGCTAGACAGTCTGTGGGTGGGGAAGTGGGAAGCGTTCACGGGCTAGATGGTATGGTTCAGCGGTACTGATAAACATCCATTGTTAGCCTTTGATTAAAATCCTATTGGGAGAGACTGGAAATTAATGTTTGATTTCTTAAGCATTCAGACTGTCTTGATCCAGTCTCTCAGAGGGCATTACTACTCTGACCTGTTCCAGAAAGCCAGTTTCATGAAACCAAGTGGACAGTCCATTAGAGGAGGCTCAAAGGCTGTAGGATACTTTTCGACTCACGGTCTTGGAGCCTCATTACCATAATTCTGACACCATTTAGTGTCTGGACCTGTGGGCCCGTGTCTCCCCCCGTCTTCCCGCTGTTCCACGGTGGAGGTCTGATGGGAATAAGAAGGTCCTGTGAGAAGTGCAGCCTGGGACCTTGAGTTCCACCCGGGACTCAGCCGGGCTCTGCTGTGTCTCCGGGGCACGGGTCCTGCTCTGCAGTCCCTCGTGGCGGCGGGCAGGCTTTGTGGCGGGCTCCTTGTGTGTATGTTAGGGATGCAATGCCCACTCTTAGGGTGAACACCTGGCAGCTTTTTTTCCAAACTACCAGACGCCAGGACATGTGTTGATTCAGGACGTCTAACCCAGCTAGAAGGGATTAGCGCTTGCCTGCCTTTGTCTCGGCGAGACCACAGTGTTGAATAATGGGTCTGAATTCCCAAAGGTGGGCATCTTTGACAGAGGGTGGACCCCAGGGTGGTGACAGAACCTCACTGAGTCCGTGGAGACCTCGTGCTTCCGAGATGGTGCCGAGACCCCTGTTTGAATGCATGCAGAATCAGCTTTGCATTGTGAAGACTCACGATCAAGGGTAAAGAGGTCGTATTTTATGAACCAAGTACAGAGAAGTTGGGAGACGCCGACCGCTCCCGGATCGGGAGACGCTGTTCCGTTTCACGACTCGAATAGGACAGATACTCTTAAGCACCTGCCAATCCCAAGAACTGTTAGTGTTTCTCTGAGAAGATGGTAATAAGTGTATAACCACGTGGACCTGAGTGGTGATTGATTTGGTCTCTGGGGTGTTGAACTTCTAGGAAATCATGTCTTTTTTTTTTTTGCTTTTAAGGATCGTTAAGTATAGCGAGCAGTTTTCATCCAATGACGCTATCATGTCGGGCTGCCTTCCCAGCAATCCTTGGATAACAGATGACACCCGGTTCTGGGATTTAAACGCCAAACTGTACGTATTCGAGATATCTGTGTTCTTTTAAAAGAAACTTTTTGAGTTATAATTTTCGTGTCATAGAATTCACTCACTTAAAGTGTATGTTTCGGTGATTTTGACTAGAATCATGCAACTACCACAGGTCAATTTTTAAAATATTTTCATCACCCAAGTAAGAAACCCCCTACCCTTTAGAATCCACCTGCAATGCAGGAGGCCCAGGTTTGATCCCTGGGTCGGGAAGATCCCCTGAAGAAGGGAATGGCTACCCACTCCAGTATTCTTGCCTGGAGGATCCCATGGACAGAGGAGCCTGGCGGGCTGCAGTCCATGGGGCCACAAAGAGTCAGACAAGACTGAGCGACTAAAGCACACACCCTTTAGCTATTACCCCAAGTCCGCATCCCCCAAACCCCTCCAGCCCTACTCAGCCACTAAACTGTCTCTCCAGGTTTGCCTCTTCTGGATGTTCATATAAACGGAATCGTACAATATGAGGTCTTTTGTGATTAGCTTTTTTCCCTTAGCATGATGCCTTCAAAGTTTATCCATGTTGAAGCAAATATTAGCACTCAGCCTCAAATTATGGATGAAAATATTAATTTTATGGCTAGACCACACTTTGTTTATCCATTCATCAGCTGGTGGACATTCAGGTTGTCTCTGCCTTCTAGCAGTTGTGAATATGCTGCTATGAATGTTCATGGGCTCGTTTTCACGTGGACATACATTTCTCATTTCTTGGGGTGTGTACCTAGGAATGGAACTGCTGGGTCAAAGGGTAACTCTGTTTTAACAATACAGAGATTGTTTTTGAAAAGAAAACAGTCATCTCTATGGCTTTCCATTCTTGATTTCTAATTAGAGTAAAAATAAGTTCCGGGAAGGCAGAGCCCTCAACCTGCCTTGGGGAATTACACCACTCATTCCTTCGCTATTTGTGAAATTTGAGGGGTTGTTGCTGCATAAATCTGCTGTTTGGAAGAGGGGGCAAAGGGTGAACTGCAGATGAGAAAGCCAAGCTGACAGAGGAAGAAAGAAGGGCCCCTCAGAGGGGGAGGAGGAGTGTGGAGGGGCAGGGGTGAGGGCATGAGGTGGGGGAGGCGGCAGGGCAGGGGCGTTGGGAGCAAACCATGGCTGCCGGCTCCTGAGGCCTGCGGGGAGCCCCGGGTTCAGACCAGCTGGGTGAGCAGGCCTGGGGGGCGCCCTTTCCCCTCCTCCGCGTAGCCCCGTGGTCAGCTGACGGGGCAAGGAGGGCGGCCATGGGAGTCCGGGGTCAGCTGCAGGGCCCAGGACTCTGGGACCATCTTCGGGCAGCTCTGGTTATGAGGATGGTCTCCTTCAGCCTGTGTGTCTCTCCCAGTGTTGAATAAGAGTTGTTGGGGTTCAGTCGCTCAGTCGTGACCGACTCTGCAACCCCATGGACGCAGCACACCAGGCTTCCCTGCCCTCCGTCTCCTGGAGTTTGTTCAAACTCATGTCCATTGAGTCAGTGATGCCATTCAACCATCTCATCCTCTGTCGTCCCCTTCTCCTCCCACCTGCAACCTTTCCCAGAATCAGGGTCTTTTCCAATGAGTCATCTCTTCGCATCAGGTGGCCAAAGTATCGGAGCTTCAGCTTCACAGTCCTTCCAGTGAATATTCAGGACTGATTCCTTTAGGATGGACTGGTCTGGATAAGAGAGGCCACCTGAATCTGGGCTTGGTATGGTGGCTGGCCCTTGCCTCTGCAGGCCTTGGAGGATGCGTGCGTGTCCCTCTGTCCTGAAGGGTTAGCAGGGCACCCCCCCCCCTCCACAGCCCCCCTGGGCAGCCAGCTCCTGACTCCAGGCCCAGGGGACGTGTCTGAGGCTGCATTTTCTGAGCAGGGGGTTACTTGGCTTGTCTGTGCAGGGATGGGGGAGGGGCCACGTGGAGGTTAGCGGGGCCGAAGCCCCTCGCCCCACGCAGGTCGCCGCCAGCACAGCCCAGGTGCCCAGGTGTCTGGAGCACTTACACGTGGTGGTCCTTGCAGGGTGGACATCCCAACCAAGATGCGGGTGGAGCGCTGGGCCTTCAACTTCAGTGAGCTGATCCGGGACCCCAAGGGTCGGCAGAGCTTCCAGCACTTTCTCAGGAAGGAGTTCAGTGGTGGGTCTTTGATTTTGTTCTTAATAGAAATATTTGCTTTTGGAGACACTCCTGGACGTCTCGCCTGGGGCTGGAGGATGCTGGCAGGGGTGTTCCGGGCTCTGCTCAGGCCAACTCTTGGCGCGAGCTTTCTGGACCCGCCCCCTCCCTGGGCTCCCTGGTGGTGGGGGTCGCTTTGCTCACGGAAGCCGTGTGGGCTGTGACTCACCTTCCCCTCTGGCTGCCGGCAACTGCTCACCCTGAGCCCCAGGGTCACCTGTCCACGAGCCCCAAGTCCGTGCCGCCACGCGCCAGGCTTTCTTCAGCAAGGGCGCCCTGGCTGCCTGTTCAGTTCGCCTGGACCCCATCCCCGGTGGTTCCTTTCTGACTGGTTTGGGGTGGACTCTCTGAAGTTTTGATAACTCCCCCAGTGACTGTAACATGTGGCCATGATCAAGGGCCACCATCTCAGCTCCCAGTCTGCTTCCTTAAGGTGCAGGGTCAGTGGAGTGGGTGGGGCTGGGGGGTCTGACGCCTGATGACCGGAGGTGGAGCTGACGTAGTAACAATAGACATGAAGCGAAAGTGTTGATCACTCAGTCGCGTCTCTCTTCGCGACCCCATGGACTGTAGCCCGCCTCTGTCCATGGAATTCTCCAGGCGAGAATACTGGGGTGGGTTGCCAATTCTTTCTCCTGGGGATCTTCCCAGCCCAGGGATGGAACCTACGTCTCCAGCACTGCAGGTGGATCCTTTACCATCTGAGCCACCAGGGGAGTCCGCGGACATAAAGCGGACAATGAATATAATGCCCTTGAATCGTCCCGAAACCGTCCCTCCCCCTCCCGCCCCCAGTCCATGGAAAAGCTGTCCTCCATGAGATGGGCCCCCGGGAGTGAAAGGCTGGGGACCACTGCTGGGCCCACACTTCATGTGCCGGCCTTGGGGGCCCTGCAGCCTCGTAGATACGGCGCGCAGGGCGGCACCCGGGAAAAGCGGAGGCCGGACTGGGGCCACGTCCCGCGGGTGGGACATTCCGTGGGCATCACCGCCTGCCCTGAAATCCTGGCTCTCGTGGTTCCTCTTACTTCCCGCCAGGTCCCGAGCCCCGGGGCACCCTTGACCCTCCCTTGCTCCCCGAGACCCGCTGGCCTGCGAGTTGCACCTGAAACTACCCCACGGGACGTGCCATGAGCCTGTGTGCCTGCCTGATGTGGCAAATCACGTCCTGATAGGGATTCTGGAAAAGCCTTTTTTCTGACTTAAGCCTGATTGCCAGGATGTAATAAACCCAGGGATGGGAGGGGGCTGCTTTAGGGCAGAAGCACGCCGCGAGGAAGTGGGCCGGGCGACATCTAGTGGCCGGCTGACGAACCTCACCCTGAGCTTATCCCATCCACTGCTTACTTGGCATCAGTGAGAATTCATCTCTAAGATTTCCTGCCGTTATTTTTTAAAAAAGAGCACTATTGATGGTCTCTGGATGAGGTCCCCAAGGCTTCTGGTACAGGAAGAACAAGTAAACAGTCCATTTCATTAAAATTTTAAAAACTGAGATATGCTTCACATGTTATAAATTCAGACCATGTAATCCACCTGCCGTTTCAAACTGCAGTTCAGCGCTCTGTATTAGACTCAACAGAGTTGCACAACAGTCACCACTATATAACTCTAGAACATTTTCCGCACCCTAAAAAGGAGCCCTAACCCGTGTAAGTCGTTCCCTGTTCCTCTGTCTTCCTCTCTCCCCACAGCCCCCTGCCCCAGTCCTAGGCAACCGCTAATTTTCTTTCTATTTTCATGGATTTGCCTGTTTCATGGATTTGGACATTTTCTATAAATGGAATCATACAATATGTGGCTCGCTGTCTTCTTTCACTTAGGATAGTATTTTCAAAGTTTTTCCATGTTGAAGCATGTAATAATGCTTCATCCTTTTTAATGGCCAAATAATATTCCATTCTGGCTTCCTTGGTGGCTCAGTGGCAAAAATACACTTGCCAATACAGGAGAGGCGGGTTTGATCCCTGGGTCGGGAAGATCCCTTTAGAAGGAAATGTCAATGAACTCCATCTGGTATTCTTGCCTGGAAAATCCCATGGACAGAGGAGGCTGGCAGGCTACAGTCCATGGGGCTGCAAAGGAGTTGGACACGACTCAGCGACTAAACAACAAAAGTGTTTGTGCCATTCTGTGAATACGCCAGCTTTTGTGTGTCCGGTCCTCAGGTGGGAGACCTTTGGGTTGTTCCACTTCCTGGCTGTTATGGGCAGTACTGCTATGAACATCCATGTACACACTTCTGTGAGCTCGTTTGTTTACACTGATAAAATATCCACAAGCCTTGCCATTGTAACCATTCTAAGTGTGAGTTCAGTGAAATTAACTGTCGCCACCATCCGTTGCCAGAACGTTAAAATTTTCCAAACTGAAACTCTGTCCTCTGTAAACACTAACTCCCCACCGCCCTGGAGACCATTCTGCTTTCTCGTCTGAGTGCTCTGGGGACCTCGTATAAATGGAATCGTACAGGATTTGTTCCTTTGTGTCTGGCTCGTTTCACTTAGCACCGCGTGCTTCAGAGTTCATCCCCGTTGTGACTTGTGTCAGGATTTCCTTCCTTTTTCAGGCTGAATAACGCTCACTGTACGTATGCACCACGTTGCGTTTATCCATTATTGTGCTGCTGAACATTTGGGTCGTTCCCACCTTTTGGTTTTTGTGAACAATTGTGCATTTAATTTTACTCCTGAGCAATGAACTGTCTTTTGCTGTGGGCAAGGTGGTCTCCAGGGCCCTTGAGGTAAGGCCAGTGGCTGTCACTCAAGAGCACCTGGCCTGTTTGCTCCTGCGGGTGGTCTTGGTCCTAAGGACTCCCTGGATTTTCCGCCAGAGAGGAAGGGTCTATATAGAGTTAGGGGACAGAGTCAACCTGCTTAGGCTCCGACAGCCTTCTCTGCTCAGAAATGCCCGGGAGGCTTCCAGAGAATATGGAAATGGGGCAGAGGGATGGTGTGGTACATTTCCCCACATGGTGGCGGTCCGTGGTTCACTGCCCCCCACAGGCACACACACTAGTCATAGAGACATGCACACATGTGTCCACGCACAGGCACACACTAGTCACACACACACATGTGTCCACACACACCATACATACCATAGCCACACACATCCACACATGTCTGCACACACACCATATAGACACATGCACGCACATATGTGTGCAGGCATGCACACACACCATGCACAGACACAAGCACACACACATGTCCACATGCAGGAACACATGCACACATGTGTATGACACACATGCAGGCATACAGGCACAGACCTGTACACACACACACACACACACACACAGACTCTTGCTTTCCCACTGCTGTGACCACCTTTATTTTCTCAGGTGAAACTGCCACCTGGGGTGATGTACCAGGTGTTCACACTTCTGGGTGCCCGGGCACCAGTTAGAGAGCATCCAGCTGGAGGGACACAGGAGGGGGCACCTGGCTTTCCTTCTGGGCCCAGAGGGGCAGGGCCTCTGGTTCAGGTGGCCCTGCGTTTAGTCCCCCGCAGCCAGGCCTTCCCGGAGAGTCAGTCCTTCAGGATCGAGGCTTCAGCAGCGTATCTGTGAGGGGCTCTGGAGGGAACACGGCCGCAGGGGCTCTCAGAGGCGGGATCTCTGTGCACCGAGGAGGCACCATCGGCGCGCTCCCTGGGTTCATGCCCTCTGCCGGGCCCTGGCCGGAGCACCCAGGAGCCTGTGGTCCCACCTCCACCCCCGCGCTCACGGCTCAGGGCGGGATCCATGCCGGCTGACCGCTTCTCTTCTTTCCTTCCCCCCGCCTCCCATCCGGGCTCCCGTCCGGCTGTTCATGGCGTCCACCCTCTGCCCCTCGCAGGGGAGAACCTGGGCTTCTGGGAAGCCTGTGAGGACCTGAAGTATGGAGATCAGTCCAAGGTCAAGGAGAAGGCGGAGGAGATTTACAAGTGAGCATGAGCCGTGTGGGTTCAGAGCCCCCCCGCCCGGCTGCCCCCGCCCTGCACCCGAGGTCAGACTGGACGGAGGCAGCCAGTGCACCTCGTGTGTGGGCGCCTCACCCCTGCTCTGGGGGGCTGGGGGTCACCCCACCCACTGTTTGCTCTCTAAGAGGTTGGGAATTCCAAAGTTAAGCACATTTCACATTCCCGGTGCTGGCAGGGAAGTCTTGTTGCTCCTAGGAAATGTTGCTTGACAGCCTATTCAGATGCTTGAGTATCTTGGAAAAGGACCCCTTTCACCCCAGGGTGTGTGTGTGTGTGGGGGGGGGCGGCGAGTCACGTTTGTTAGCCCCTCTCTCCCGAGCAGCTGGGAAGGTTCCATTCACTGACCTGGTTTGGCTTTCTTTTTAAATTTAGTTTTGGCCGCACTACACGGCCTGTAGGATCTTACTTCCCTGACCAGGGATGGAATTCACACCCCCTGCTGTAGAAGCAGGGAGTCTTCACCACTGGACCCCCAGGGAATTCCTGGTCTGGCTACTTTTGCTGACATTCTCCTCCTGGTCTCAGGCTGTTCCTGGCCCCCGGGGCGAGACGGTGGATAAACATAGACGGCAAGACCATGGACATCACGGTCAAGGGGTTGAAGCACCCCCACCGCTACGTGCTGGACGCGGCGCAGACCCACATCTACATGCTCATGAAGAAGGTAGGCAGGGCCGGCCGAGCGTGCGCCCGGAAGACCTCCCGTCCCAAGGACCTGGATGCGGAGGAAGGGGGAGCGTGTGGTGGTGGCTGGAAGTCCTCCCGTCCCCTGGTACCGGGATGCGGGAGAAGAGGGAGCGTGTGGAGGTGGCCGGAAGTCCTCCCGTCCCCGGATGTGGGGGAAGGGGGAGCGTGTGGAGGTGGCCGGAAGTCCTCCCGTCCCCGGTACCGGGATGTGGAGGAAGGGGGAGCGTGTGGAGGTGGCCTTGCTGCTGTCGGGTGCTGAGCTGTCAGCTGTGTCTTCCACCTGCTGCAGGGCTGGTCCCTCCCTGTGCTCCCGAGCCCTCTGGCCAGGGAGGAGCAGCTGCTGAGGCTGAAGCCCTCTCAGGGCTTCTGACTCTGCAGCTGAAGGGCTGTCCTGACATAGTGACTGCGCCGACTTACATTCCCACCACGCGCGCGGGAGGGTTCCCGTCTCTCCACATCCTCTCCAGCGTTTTTCGCTTGCAGTCTTTTTCACGAAGGCCATTCTGACCGGTGTGAAGTGGCACGTCATGAGGGTTTTGCTTTGCATTGCTCTGATGATTAGTGATGTTGAGCGTCCATCCCTGTGATTGTTGGGCCATCTGTCCGTTAGTTCTGCCCGCAGTTCTCATACTTTTGCTCTCACTATATAGTCTTTAGAATGATACCATTTCAAGAAATTAAAATCAATTCCCCATTGGTTGCTCTGGGCTTTCTCCTGTATTTGTTGGGACTGAAGTTTGCAGTTGGTTTGAGTGAGGCAGCATTCAGGAAGTGACTTCTCTGAACCTGCCCAGGGTCCCTGGAAAAAGCCACACAAAGGAGTCTGGGCTTCCCCGGTGGCTCAGACAGAAAAGAATCTGCCTGCCAGTGCAGGAGGCCCAGGTTCGATACCTGGGTGGGGAAGATCCCCTGGAGAAGGAAATGGCAACCCACTCTAGTGTTCTTGCTTGGAGAATCCCATGGACAGAGGAGCCTGGTGGGGTACAGTCCATGGGGTCCCCAAAAGTCAGATAATGACTGAGCGACTTAGCACAGCACTGTAAGTGATCAGGTGAAATGGATGCTGCCGGCCTGGGGATCACACTTGAGAACCGTGGCTTTAGATGCAGATCTGAATGCCTTGAGCACAAGGAAACAAATCCTCTCAACTCCCATCTCGCTGCTGGGAGGAGGCTGGGAAAAAGGCAAGTGTGTTCTTTTGACTGGACCCATTCCTTCTCACAAGTCTCGTTTTTCTCTTGTTCCTGCCAGGACTCTTATGCTCGCTACTTAAAATCCCCAATCTATAAGGAGATGCTGGCCAAAGCGATTGAACCCCAGGAAACTACGAAGAAAAGGCAAGTGGAATGGGCTGAAATCAGTCATGGCCTGCTGTTTTGTTTATAGGGAAGGGAGGATCTTTTTCAGCCAAATGGCTATTATCAAGATATTTTCTGGATGAAAATATTGAGACTGGGAGGCATTCTTAGGGTCTGATCACCTTACTGGCTTCATCACGTTCTGAAAGCATGCTGGCGAGATGCAAATAGTCATTACTGCCAGTCAGTTTTGTTCTCCTAATGCTGGTTTGAAAGAGTTTTGATTATCAGATGGAATAATGACCTTTATTACAGATGGAAGCATGCATTGGCCTTTTAATTGGCACACTTCTCCACTCCAAACTGGTGTTTAGGAATTAATTTAGCTACGTCCTGGTAATGTCCTTTGTGATGGCTCAAGATTGTGGAGACGGGGGCAGATTGCTCCCAAAGAAAAGTGCTGGCCCTTCAGGGCAACGAACAGGGGAACTGTTCTTGCTGACCACAGGGGACTGCCTTTCATTACGTCCCTCCGTTCCTTTATTCATGCTCACCTTCCTCACTGGAGATGTGAATGTCCGAATGTCCGTCTGGCAGCCCTTGGGCAAAGGATAAAACGTCCCGAAGGGCAGTTTGAACTCTCTGAGGGCGAAAAAGAAAACGCTAGAGGGATTTAAGATTCAGAAGAGCAACCAAACAACAGCTTGAACAAAGATTTGGGACTTCGGCAGTTTTCCCAGCCCCAGGGCCTGTCCTCCCCGCCCCTTCCCCCCACCCAATAGATGTTTCCCATTTGTCAGCTCAGCCCCACGCCAGGCGCTTTTCCAGCGTCTCCAGTCAGTCCAAAGGAGGGGGTGGTTGGACCAGAGCCTTTATCAGAGGAGCTTTAAAAAACCCCAAGTTAATTTCATTTTTGAGAATAATGGCCTTGTTATGAAAAGGAGAGAAAGGAGGTCTTGGTGGTGCTATTCTCCTAGGTTTAAGGGGTAAGGACGGGAGTTCAGTGTCCCTGGGGACTTGAAAGTTACTTCTTTAAGCCACAAGAAATGGCCACAATAGCTCCAGATGTCCTGCCAGAAAGTAGTGGGGAAGGGAGGGGAGCGTCATGTGCCTCTGTCCAGATGGTTTTTAGGTTGGCACAGACCTGAGGAATCAGCTGGGCTCTCTTGTGGGGTGCCTGGGCGCTTGTCTGGGGTGGCGCTGGACCACGGGTGCAGTGCTCGGCTTCAGGGTCGAGTACCGCGGTGTGGTGATGCTGTTGGCGCTCTGGGTAGTAAGCGCACCCTGGGGACCCGGGAAGCCCGGCCGGTAGCTGTGCGGGGATGGCAGGGGTGTGAGTGTGTCCCGTAACTGTCAGGCGTGAGAGAGTGCACGAAACGGAAGTTTTCCAGGGCAAGTTAAGTGGCGCCCCAAGCAGGCAGGGCTGGGGTGCGGGGTGGGGAGACCAAGTCTCAGGCTCCGCTCACAGGTGGGGGCGTGGTTCCTCCCCGGGCAGATACGGAAGTTCCAGGGGTTACATGCTCCCGAAATTTGGAGAGGTCCTAGGTCTGAAGTCGCCCTTTGCGGCTGAAATGCTGCTTCTCCAAGCCTGCTCACGGTCGCCTCCATCACACACCCGGAGCTGTGTCCTGGCGTCCGAGGTGATGGTGGACAGCGATGCGTGGTTTGGCGTTGGCGGAAGAGGTGGACGGGTCGGCGCGTGCGCACAGGGCCGCCAGCGCATCCCTTGCTCCTCCGGCCATTTCCCCTTCCTCTGCCGGTCCAGCCTCGCTCTGCGATGGCCTCGCACTTTCCTTCCTTCCCAGAACCTTGACTTTTGAAAACAAATGCCCCAGTTCTCCCTGGGGGGCAAGAGCCCTTCGGCTTCCAGTAGCCAGGCCCCCTTGTCCCGTTCTTTCCAGAAGAACCTCGAGGAAGCTAAGGGGACACGTTGGTTTCCAGACACTGTGGCAGGTGGTGTCTGCTCGGCGTTGCCCTTCTGGCGGCCTCTAAGAGCTGATGGCAGCTGGGCCTCACTCAGGCCCCATCCTCCCGCGGCTGGGGGCCCTCCGAGGGTCCCCCTGAGGTTCCCCGGGAAAGGATGAGGGGCCGCCAGAGGCCAGCCTCACCCTGCAGGTGTCAGTGCTGTCCTCCGCCGACCGCCCCCTCCTCCCTTCCAGCTCGAGCCTCCCGTTCATGCGGCGGCACCTGCGCTCCAGCCCCAGTCCCGTCATCCTCCGGCAGCTGGAAGAGGAAGCCAAGGCGCGGGAGGCGGCCACCACGGTGGACATCACCCAGGTCATGAGCAAGCTGGACCGCAGGAGCCAACTCAGAAAAGAGCCGCCTCCCAAATAAATCCACAGTTGCTCCCTCCCGGGGTGGGGGAGGCAGGGCTGGAGGAGGCCTTTCCGCGGTCGTGGGGCGGTGGGCTGCTCGGGTTCACGCTGATTCCTCAGACCCCCGTCCTGGGCTTCCCCCTCCCCCTCCAGCTCGCCAGGGGCCCGGGTGGGCAAAGGCAGGGTGTTGGGCACATGACTCCATAGCTGTGACACCTGCTGCTTCCCTCCGGAGCCCTTGGGGTGAGAGCCAGAGAGAAAAGCCGCCTCCTGAACCGCCGTTGGCTTCAGGAAGTTCAGAAGGGCCCTCCCCACCCCTCCTCATCGTTCTTTCAGGCAGGTTTGTTGTTTCCAGTGACTTCCTGAAACTTCTCCTCCAGTCTCTCCAAGTTAGACGTTGTCTCTCAAGCAGTTGGAGGCCGCCCCCCCTCCCGCCCCCTGCAAGGGGCTACTTCAAGTTTGCTCCATCAAACCAGCCCAGGGAAGCTCTGCTGACACCGTTCTGTTGAGCCTGTTTTTAGTCCTGAGTTTTGAGGGCCGGTGGGGCCTCTCCTTGGCTTTTGCCTCCTCGCCCCCTGTTACACAATGCCAGGGGGAATTAGTAGCTTGTAGGAATGAAGAACTCAGGCTGGAGGCCTCTGGATTGGTCCAGGTAACACAGAGCATCTTTCTGGACAAAGGATGAAGGTGCTGATGTCTTCATTCATAGAAGGAGGGATGGTTGGAGGTCTGTGACATTTTCAAAGTGAGTCAGGATCAAAGGTAGTTCTCTTCAGGTTATTTTCTAGATGTTGGTGCTTCCCACTTTTGTAGCTTTAGTTTAGGTGAACCCGTGGCGGGATGGTACTGGTTCTGTTTTTCCCCGTCAGAGACCAGTTTGCACTCTGAAAGAGCAACTAGAGAGGTACTTTGTTCATCTCTCCTTTGAAGAATTTTGGAGTCCTCCTATGCGGTGGGGGGGGGGGTGCACCTCAAGGAGGAATTTCAGGTGATGAACCTTTTGTAAACTGAGTGACATGAGGGGAGGGACAATACCTTACCATTGGAGTCTAATGCTTTAGACCTAGTTAATTCTGCATAAATGTATTACGTGAATGGATGGATGGATGAATTGATGAAAGAATGGATGAATGAATGCGTGGATGGATGGGTGGATGGATGCGTGGATGGATGGATGGTGGACAGGCGGATGGATGTGTGGATGGATGGATGCATGGATGGATGGATGGATGGGTGGGTGGATGGATAAGTTGATGGATGAGTGGACAGAGCCTTGGGTTTGGAGAAGGCCTCCTAGGCTCTGGTCCTCATTCTCCTGCTAGCCATGTAGTCTTGAGCAAGTCTCTTCATCTCTATGCTTTATGATTTGTGAACTGAGGGGTTGGGGCCAGATCCATGCTTCTTAGACCAGACTCAGTGAATTCCAGGAGGATACCCAGCCTGGGGCATCAGTTTTACTTGAAGATTTGGAATGGGAGGAAAGATAGATAATTTTTAAAATTTCATATTAAAATAATAATGAATATATTATGAATTAGACTGCAAGATGTACATGAATTTTTAAGATGAAATTTGAGACATCAAAGCCATCCCATGCCGAGCTGTGGCAGATTCAGGCTCTGCCCTCAGACTCCTGGGACAGCGTGGTTCCCTGGCTCTCCTGCTGTTTGTCCTACTTTCACGGGAGAGTTTGTGAAGCATGATCTGGAGGTATTTGCCACCCCTCCTAGTTACCCTGTGTAAGCTGAGGTTATGCACCCAGCAGAGTGGGGGTGGCTGGTGGGAGTGTCGAAATGCACCTTGAACCTTCAGGTCATGGAGTATGTCTTGTTCATCTTTGACTCAGTCGTTCACCTGCCCGTTCCTCACTTGTGAGATGTGTCTGCTTCACACGACTCTCATCCTCCAGCAGAGTACTGGGTGCTCTGGGTCAGACACATAGTAGGTCTGGCAGAAATGCTGCTGGAAACCTTCTCATGTCAGACACACAGGAATCCCACAATCCAAGGAGAGGTGTAGGCATGTCAACAAACTAGGGTATCATTCTTTATTGGACATGTGAGCCCCATCTGAAGGAAGGCAGATGACAAATGTCTTCACTTTTGGATGGCAGCAGTTACAGTCCACACATGTCTTTTATTTATATTCTATTATTATTAAAGTAGTTAGGTTGCAATATTATGGTGGTTTCAGGTGTGCAACATAGTGATTCAATATTTTTATAGATTATACTCTGTCTAAAGTTATTATAAAACGTGGGCTGTATTCCCAGGGCTGTACGTTACACCCTGGTATCTTACTTATTTTATACCCAGTAGTTTGTACCTCTTAATCCACATCCACCAATGGATTTTAAACATCCGCTTGGTGTGAGAGCCTGTGTTGGGGGCTCTGGCCCAGCTGCAAAAGTGGACAAGATGTTTTCTTTCCTCATGGGGCTGACGAGGGTGCAAACAGCCACAACATGGGGCAGAGTGTGTCAAGGCTGGGCGTGTGCAGCACAGACAACGTGCTGGAAGAACACAGGGACGGGAGAGCTGTCTGGCCTAGGGAGTCGAGGGGTCCACTGGGAAATTCTTATGTTTGGGAGGAAGAAGCCACAGGCCCCTCCCCAGTTTTCTGGTTTTGGAAGCACGTCTGCTTCCGGATTCCAGCCTCAGTGCCCTGCGCCTGCCAGCTTTGTCTCTGCTCTCCATCCCTGTCAGCCCCACAGGGCCTCTTTGACTCTCAAGTGATATAAAAAACAGTATTTATCTGGACAATATTGCTGCTACATTTAAATTACTGTCATACTCCTTATTATGCCCTGTACTTAGGCCCCATCTCAATTCTGTTAATATATTTTAAACAGTTTGAGTTTCTCTACCCATATGGGATATACCTGATGCTAGAAGGTAAGTTGTGCTACAGAGTGCCAGGGTTCTCTTTGAAGAATTCCAGATTGAAGCTTGCCTTTTAGAGAAAAGACTGCTTTTGTTGTGAGCGTTGAGTGGAAATACAAGGGTTAGAGAGTCGAGTAGAGTGCTTTGGAAAATGCCCGGAGTAAGTGCTCAGCAGATGCTGGCTGCTGTGAGCAGTGTCACATCCATTGTTACATCCATTGTTATTATTTTTACTGTCCTCACCGTCATTCTCACCACCTGCACCAGCATCATCACCACCATCACCACCGTCACCACCACCACCATCACCACCACCACCACCATCATCACCATCATCACCACCACAACCACCACCACCACCATCACCATCATCATCACCATCACCATCACCACCACCACCACCACCACCACCAGCATCACCATCACCACCACCACCAGCATCACCATCACCAGCATCACCATCACCAGCATCACCATCACCACCACCACCACCATCACCAGTATCACCAGCATCACCACCACCACCAGCATCACCACCACCAGCATCACCAGCATCACCATCACCATCACCACCACCACCAGCATCACCATCACCACCACCACCACCAGCATCACCATCACCATCACCACCACCACCATCACCACCACCACCACCAGCATCACCATCACCACCACCACCACCAGCATCACCATCACCACCACCACCACCATCACCAGTATCACCAGCATCACCACCACCACCAGCATCACCAGCATCACCACCACCAGCATCACCACCACCACCAGCATCACCAGCATCACCACCACCAGCATCACCAGCATCACCACCACCAGCATCACCAGCATCACCATCACCAGCATCACCACTACCAGCATCACCACCACCACCACCAGCATCACCATCACCACCACCATCACCAGTATCACCAGCATCACCACCACCACCAGCATCACCAGCATCACCATCACCATCACCACCACCACCACCAGCATCACTACCACCAGCATCACCACCACCACCACCAGCATCACCATCGCCATCACCACCATCACCACCACCCCTAGGAGCTTCGTGCTCTTGAAGCACGTGCTCCCTCGCATGTCAGTGTTGCCCAGTGCAGCGACTCATTACTCTTTATTATTTAGGGCATTTCCTGAAGTGTGTTTAAAGCCTTGTTGACCCAAACCATCCTGCCTCTGTCCTCTCTGAGAATATATATGTCCTGTCAGGATATATCTGAGGGGAGGAGAGTGGGGCGTCGATGTCCTGTGGTCTGTCCGCAGCTCCTAGGAGAGGGCTGACCAGCAGCAGGCAGTGACCACTCAGTCCGTGGGTCCTGAGTCTCGTTTGTTCAAAGTGGGGAGGCTGGCGCTGGGTGGGGCAGAGATGACTGACAGAAGAAACAGGGTGTTTGCCCGTATGGATTTGCCTCCGTGGGGTCAAGTGTGCTCACTTGCTTTGGGGGACAGTGGAGACGGGGAGAATGAGGGGGCGGGAAGGGGGGACTGGTGCAGAGCATGCAGCCCTGGAAAGGCGGCCCCCTCCTCCTGCCTGCTCCCAGGAAGTGGCCGCAGGGTCTCCTCCAAATTCCCAACTGGCTTCTGGACGGACGTGAACTGCATTCCCGCACCATCTGCTTTACCTCTCATTAAAGCCTGAGCTCGTGTTCTCCTGTTGGCGGCCCGCTCCACGCCATGCTCCTTCTCCCGGGAAAATAAACGCAGCACAGAACAAGGCCGAGCTCTCCATCACTGCATCTCTGTCGTGTCATTTCTCTGCCATGTGCCTTGCATGCGCTGCTTTGCTGTTTCACGCCCGCGGTGGGTGTGGCCTGGGCTGCCGGGGCTGTGGCGGGGTGGTGGGGGGGAGCATGGGGGGAGCGGGCGGAAGAGGCACCTTGCTCGAGTGTCCAGGCTGTTCACCCAGAAGGAAGGACCTTCTCAGGCAGGTGAGTGAAGCCGGACGGGAGCCACTCTTTACCTGTCCTGTCGTTCATCCTGGGGAGAAGCAGGTGCTGGGGCAGGGGGGTGGGCTGGGGGAGAGCCCAGAGTCGGGGTGGGGTGCATGCCATCATGTCCCCTGGGTCGGGCCGCATCCTCTCCGTGGGCCTCGGTGTTTTAGTCTGTGAAGTGGGGTCATAACAGGAGTTGATCACAGGCTGAGTGAGTGAGGTTTAAGGTGACGCCCTCGGGTGTCCTCAGTGAACTGGAGGGAGGAGAACCTTGCCGCCCTCTGTCTCTCTGAGCAAAGCCTGGTCTCAGTTTGGCATTTTGGCCCAGCAGTCCAAGTCCTGCCCAAACCCCGTAGGCAACGGGCTGGCAACGTGGATCAGTAGGCAAGCAAAGGCTTTGGGGGTTACACGGACCTGGGGTCAGAGTCTCATTTGGTCACCGTGTGAGTTAACAATCGCTGAGTAACAAGTTAGCACCAACAGCCACCATTTATGAGCTCGCCATTGGCCGGGTGTGGCTTGGTAGTATTTCCTGGCACACAGTCAAGGTGTCTCCGGGCTGTGTGAGTTCTTACTGGAGGCTCAGAAAGAGTCTGCTTCCAGGTTGTTGGAAGGATCCCATCTCTTGTTGTAGGACCCAGAGCCCCATTTTTTGCTGGCTGCTCTCAGCTTCCAGAAGCGGCCCAAACTCCTTGCCACCTGCTCCCCACCCTCCATCTTCAAAACCAACCATGAAGAACCCCGGCTCGTTGAATTTCTATCCCAAGCCTCTCTGACTTCTGTCTCCGGTTTCTAGACTCAGGATTGAAGGGTTCAGGTGAAGAGGTCAGTGTCACCAGAACAATTCAGAGTCAGCTACGCCGTATCCCATAGCCTGCTCGTGGGGGTGACCACGCAGCACATTCACAGCTCACACCCATCCTGAGGTCTTGGTGGCCACCTTAAAGTTCTACGTTCTGCAGTCGCTGGCTTGCAGTGGGAGCCTGGGGATGGTACCAAACCGCTCCGGCCCTCAACATTCTGGTCTCTAAAATGGGGCAGTTGTAAATTCGCAGGGAACTGGCATGGAGTAGGTCTCTATAAACCTCAGGGCCATAGGCCTGACCGTCATCTCCCAAGCCCCTCATCAAGGCCAGCCATCCCTGCTGATACCAGTATTCTCTGCAGACTGTGTCCTGCAGGGGAGACGTGAGTCCCTGTAGGTGGTGGCGTTAGAAGCACAGGGTTCGGCTCCTCACACGACCTGGCTCTTGCTTACTTGCAAAGCAGCGCCCTCGGTGTTTGTAAGGCTTTGCCCCCCAACTCAGGTTCCCCTCCAGTGGGTCTGGGGTGAGTCTGGGGTCTGCATTTGTAACGGACACCCCGTGCGATGCTGACCTGGAAGCATCCATTGGGCATCACACATATAAATTGTGGAGCCAGCGAGCACGGTTGCAAAACCTGCTGACCGTCCTTGTGTTCCTGGGCTTGGCTCCTGGAAGTCTTCGTTTTCTCATCTGTAAAATGGGCATAGTAAGTGTTAGCTGCTCTGGAGGTACCTGCAATAATTGACATAAAGTTCGCAGCCCAGAAACTCGAATTTCTGAGCTTCTTAAGCATGTTAACAATAATCACGATGGTGATTAGTAAGCATAATAACCCCATGGCCCTGGGTCAGGGCCTTAGCTCTGGTTGGTTGGCCTGTCTGAGCAGTGGATCGGCATTGGTGGCTCTGAGCTGCTGTTTCAGAATCTTGCTTGAGCTTCAGGGAGCAGGTGGGAGAGAGTAGGGACCTCCTCCCTGCCTTCAGGGCAAAGCCCCAGTGGTCTCCAGGCCTTGTTTTCTTCTGAGGGCTGCTGGGGGCTCTGCCTGCCCACCCCTCCCTCTTCAGGCTGGGTCCCACACCCTCCTCAAGCACGTGGGTGCCCGCAGCCACCTTCCTTCTGCCCCAGGCGATACCCAGGCCCCCGGGGCAGACGCCCCCTCTGGGCCGGAGGTCCGTGCGGCTGTGGCAGTTTCCCTGAGGTCAGCCCTCTCTTGGAGGCAGTGTTGGTCCAGCTCTCCCCGGCATGCCCTGGGACCGGCCCACCCCCCAGCCCCGTCCACACTGGGCTGAGAAGGGCCGCGGCAGGCCCTGCGGGACCCAAACCTGGCGGGGGAAAGCTGAGGCAAGCAAGCCTCCCTGCCTAGGACTTGATCCTGATGCCCCATATGCTCGCGCAGAGCTCTCGGGCGCCTTCAGTCCGCTGCGCCCGGCTCCCCGCTCCTGCCCCGCTGGTCGGGGACCCAGGGCCGAAGCCGCCCAGGGCGGTTGCCTCAGGGAGCCTCCTTATCTGTGTTTCCAGGCTCCTCCTCCGCAGTGGGCCCAGGCCCCACTGCGGTTCCCGTGGGAGGCCCAGGAGAGGGTGGCCATGGCCATGTGTCGGGGTTCAGGACGCGGCGGCTGGTCTCAGGCCTGGAAGGATCCGCACAGGCCAGGGCTCCATATGGCACCTCCAGTGCTGTGTGAAGAGGGTTTTAAATGCCTGCAGACCACAGGTGGCACCAAGGCCGGAGCGGGGACGGGATGATGACCCGGGTGGAGCCCGTGCTCGTGGAGGTGGAGTTGATGGGCGAGGGGGAACCCCAGCCAGGCAACCGGCATCCCAGGCCTGGAGGAGCCTCCAGGGTGCCCGGGGAGGCGGCCAGGGCTTGGGGAGCCTGTGCGACGCCGTGCCATCCTCCTTAGGGGGCTCGGGGCACCCCTCCTCAGTTCCCAGGGGCAACCAGAGGGGGCCTGGTCTCCAGCCTGGAAGGGGCCGAGTGGGAGGGGGCAGCCGGCGGCGGTGCAGCCGTGCCCTCACTCCGCATCTCTCTCCTCCTCTGCAGCCCGGCCAGCGCTTGGCCCCCAGCCCCCACCTGGCTGTGTACACCGGGACCTGCGTTCCCCCGTCTCCCTCCAGCCCCTTCTCCCCTAGCTGCCGCTCCCCGGGGAGGCCCTTCCCCTCGCCCGGCCGCTTCATCCGGCGGCCCAGCAGTACTGTCTGCCCCTCACCCATCAGCGTGGCTCTGGAGGGCTCCCCGGGCTCCGAGCGGAAGCGGGAGGCCGGCGCGTCAGGGGCGGCGGACGGGGCTTCCATGGACCAGCCCCGGCCCCGGGCCCAGCCCAAGGCGCGCGTGCGCCTGTCCCTCGGCCGGTTCCTGAGACGGGGCTGTTTGGCTTCCCCGGTCTTCGCCCGGCTCTCCCCGAAGTGTCCCGCTGTGTCCCATGGCAAGGTGCAGCCCCTGGGGGATGCCAGCCGGCAGCTATCACGACCGAGGTCACGGAGAGCAGCCAAGTAAGAATGGAGGGGGTGGTGTGTGTGCGCGCACGCGCACATGGGGAGTGTGTGTGCGCACACGAAATTGTGTGTGTGCACACAGGATTGTGTGTGCACACGGAAGTTTGTGCACACAGGATTGTGTGTGTGTGCACAGGGAGAGTGTGTGCACATGTGGGGATTATGTGTGTGTGCACATGGGATTGTGTGTGTGCACACGGGGATTGTGTGTGCGCACATGGGGATTGTGTGTGTGTGCACACGCACATGGGGAGTGTGTGTGTGTGCGCACATGGGATTTGTGTGTGTGCGCACGGGGATTATGTATGTGTGCACACGGGATTGTGTGTATGTGTGCACACGGGGATTGTGTGTGTTCACATGGGGAGTGTGTATGCACACATGGGGATTGTGTGTGCATGCACACAGGATTGTGTGTGTGCGCGCATGGAAATTATGCGTGTTCATGGGGATTGTGTGTATGTACACATGGGATTGTGTGTCTACACACGGGCTATGTGTGTGCACATGGGGATTATGTGTGTGCATGGGGATTGTGTGTATGTGCACATGGGATTGTGTGTGTGTACACACAGGGGTTATGTGTGTGCATGGGGATTGTGTGTGTGTGCACATGGGATTGTGTGTGTGTGCACATGGGGAGTGTGTGTGTGCACATGGGGATTGTGTGTGTGTGCACATGGGAAGTGTGCACACGCACATGGGGATCGTGTGTGTGTGTGTGCACACGGGATTGTGTGTATGTGTGCGCATGGGATTTTGTGTGTGTGCACATGGGGATTGTGTGTGTGCACATGTGGAGTGTGTGTGCACACGGGATTGTGTGTGTGTGTGCATGGGGATTGTATGTGCACATGGGATTGTGTGTGTGTACACACAGGGGTTATGTGTGTGCACACAGGATTGTGTGTGTGTGCACATGGGGATTGTGTGTGTGCACACAGGATTGTGTGTGTGCACACAGGATTGTGTGTTTGCACATGGGGCTTCTGTGTGTGTGCACATGGGATTGTGTGCACATGGGGATTGTGTGTGCACACAGGGTTTATGTGTGTGAACACGGGGATTATTTGTGTGCACATGGGGATTGTGTGTGTGCACACGAGGATTATGTGTGTGCACACGGGGGTTGTGTGTGTGCACATGGGGATTGTGTGTGTGCACACAGGGATTATGTGTGTGTGCACACGATTATGTGTATGAACATGGGGATTGTGTGTGTGCACACGGGATTGTGTGTGTGCACACATGGATTATGTGTGTGTGAACACGGGGATTGTGTGTATGTGTGCACATGGAGATTGCTGTGGGATTGTGTGTATGTGCACATGGGATTGTGTGTGTGTACACACAGGGGTTATGTGTGTGCACACAGGATTGTGTGTGTGTGCACATGGGGCTTCTGTGTGTGTGCACACGAGATTGTGTGTGTGCACATGGGATTGTGTGTGTGTGCACATGGAGATTGCTGTGGGAATGTGTGTGTGTGCATGTGTGCACACGGGTGTCTGGTGAGGACCCAGGTTCTGTGGTCTGGGGGCTGGGCAGACGGAGGGGGTAGAGTGCTGGGTGACCAGGAGGATTCTGGGAAAGCAGACCCCATGGACAAACCTTTGGCCTCGGGACACTTTCCAGACTCAGCGCTGCCCTCTGCTGTCTTCCTGGGGGAAAGGAAAGTGAAGTGACGTGGAAGTAATTCAGCTGAGTCCGACTTTTCTCGTGCCCTTGGACTATACAGTCCATAGGATTGTTTTCCTTTTCCATCTTTCCCCCTTCTGTTAACATGCTCTTCCAGGCTTCTCCGGTGGCTCAGTGGTAAAGAATCCACCTGTGATTGAAACCCAGGTTCGATCCCAGGAGGAGGGAATGGCTACCCACTCCAGTATTGCTGCCTGGAGAATTCCATGGACAGAGGGGCCTGGTGGGCTACAGCCCATGGGGTCGCGAAGAGTCAGAACGACTTGGCAACTAAACAACAACACAGTCCTCTTCCACCCCCCCTGCCCCACCTCAAACCTGGGCCTAGTGAATTTGTTACATTTTTAAAGGTCAGGAAATCTCAGTGGCAGTGGTGGGAACCAGGGTGGTGCTGGGCCCCTCCCCCTCCCCTGCCCCCTCCTGCACACATCTGCCCTGGGGGGCACTCGGGGGGCTGCAGGGCCCTGACAGCGTGCAGCCTCCATTCAGGGCTTTATCCCCACTATGGGCGGCAAAGCAAGATGGACCTCTGAGATCCCCCTGCCCCGAGGCAGCTCTCTAGGTGAGAGCTCCGGGGTGCACTTGAGGGCTCCGGGATCTGGAGCAGAAAGAAGAGTTATGGACAATGCGACACAGAGACTCAGCCCCACCTTTGTTCCGTCTGGGGGAAGGCAGCGGGGAGCACCCCTCCACCCACCAACACGCTCCTGTGTTTTGGCCCTGCGTGGTATTGGAGACAGAGGTATTGGAGACGGAGGCTCCGTGCTGAGGTCTTAGGTTGCCATGGATACCCAGGTCTCCAGCCTTGACTGTGCACTGTGCATCCCAGTTGGGGGGGATCCAGGGGGAAAGAACTTGTCGGTTGATTCCTCCCGACAGGCTCTGCTGAGGGAATGTTCTAGTTTGTGGCCACAGCAGGCTTGGGGCTTTTGAAAACCTCTGTGCTCAGCGGCCATCACGTCATTAAAAGTAAGTTTAAAGGGGCTGAGGCCTGGGTCCTGGTATGTTCCATAGGAACGTCTTGAATTCATCAAAACTGTAACAACTGAAGCCGCTTGCAAAGGGAAATAGAGTGTTCTCAGGAAAACAGGAGCCTCCCTCGACCCCCAGTGAAAGGGGTCCCTCCCAGCCCCGAGCCTGTCACTGCACACACAGCTTCCAGAAAGAACCTGAGTCTGTGCCTCCTCGGGGGTCGGGTGAGCTGGGTGTGGCGACCTCCCGTCCCCACTCACCTGCTCTGCTCCTGTGTTTGAAGCTTTTTCCAGATCAAGATGGACGTGCCCATGGGGAGCGGGGCTTGCCTGATGGACTCGGAAGACACGGACCCCGGAGCGCGCGGGGACCAGGCCACAGAAAAGGGGGTCATCTGCCCCTGGGAGAGCCCGGCGGAGGGCCACGCTGGCTGAGCCTGGGGCCTTGGGCCAGGGAGTTGCTCCCACAGGCTCGGCAGGATGGGGCCGCGAGACCCGCTGGCTCTGGGACCAGAGTGCACGAAGATCACATGTGCGGGCCGGAGGGACAAGACGGGTGGGCTCTGGAGAGAAGTGCTCCGGGTGGGCGCCCCATGGCCAGCCCTTCCCTTGCCCCCATCGTTTCTCTTGTCACCAGAAGAAAGGCATGTGGACCACAGGACCTGACTTGCTGCCTTAAAACCAATAAAAGGTTACCTTGTCAAAGTATTTTTGGATTGGAATGTTATTGTTCTAGTTTTATAAGCTCTCTATGAGTTCTTGCCTGCTCAGTCCCTCCAGTCGTGTCCAACTCTTTTGCGACCCCATGGACTGTAGCCCCCCAGGCTCCTCTGTCCAAGGGATTCTCCAGGCAAGAATATCGGAGTGGGTTGCCATGCTCTCCTCCAGGGGATCTTCCTGATCCAGGGATCAAACCCTGGATCTCCTGCATCTTCTGCATTGGCAGGCGGGTTCTTTACCACTAGTGCCACCTGGGAAGCCCTTTATGAGATCTTATTTATGCGATAAACTCAGGTCTTGGTTTTCTGAACCAAGGGAACTGAATCACCTCCAAGAGCTCCCTGCATGTATAATTGGTTTGTGCGTGATGCTGTCATCAACAGAGCTCCCTGGGGGGAGCTTGGGGCCGGGCCATCACACGGGAAGAGGGGGCTGGGAAAGGCATCCTCCTGGAGTGCCAGGCTTGCGCAGATCCACCCCAAAGCAGAGGGCAAGGTGGGATGAGGTGGGCCAGGGAATTGCTAGGGGAATCGCTGGAGAAGGGAATGGGGCTCTCAGACCGCAGCGCAGGGCCGACCTCTGGGGAGGCGGGGGGCGGGCCCCGGATGGCGGAGCAGTTCCGGGACTGTCTCGGCGAGGTTGCTGGGGTGTCCTTGAGCCTGTGTCTTTCGAGGGTGGCTGTGCGTTTGGACCCCGCTGTAAGGGCGTTGGCCGGGAGCCTCCGTGGGCAGCCTGGCCGTGGCGTGGACACGCTGGGGCCGCTTCTAGAGGTTTGCGCCCCGGTCGCCCCTCCCTCCCAGCTCTTCTCCAGGTATCAACGCTGGACAGAGCGCCCCCGAAGTGAGTCTCTGGGGGGCCCTGGGCAAGCAGCCTGGACTTCTCACTTGGTGGAATTCCTCTAGAGCACTGGTTCTCAACCCAGTTCTCACTGGGCCCAACTTTGTCACCGGGGACGTGAGCAGTGTCTGGAGACATTTTCGGTTGCCATGGCTGGGGTGGGCCTGTGACGGGGTGAGGGTGGGGGTTTCCTGGCATCCAGTTGGCAGAGACCAAAGTGAAAGTGAAAGTTGCTCAGTGGTGTCTGACTCTTTGCGACCCCGGAGCCCATGGAATTCTCCAGGCCAGAATACTGGAGTGGGTAGCCTTTCCCTTCTCCAGGGGATCTTCCCAACCGAGGAATCGAACCCAGGTCTCCCTCATTGTAGGCGGATCCTTTACCAGCTGAGCCACAAGAGAAGCCCAAGAATACTGGAGTGGGTAGCGGCTGTTCCCTTCTCCAGTGGATCTTCCTGACCCAGGAATCGAACTGGGGTCTCCTGCATTGCAGGCGGATTCTTGACCGTCTGAGCCGCCAGGGAAGGTGCTGCCAAGTGAACTACAGTGCATGGCACAGTGCATGTCGCTCCTGACAGATGCTGGCTGATGGGCTCCGCAGTCTCAGCCGCAGTGGAGGAACCTGGGACAGGGGTCACGGGTCACTGCCTGTGTGCTGGCCACTGTTGGTTTCTGCCCGAAGCCCTGAAGTGTTGGTCTAAAGGGCGCACTGGGATCATGCTTGAACTGGACAGTGGGTTGAAATTAAGGGTTTACGTGGTGAATAAAACATTTCTTAAAAGTTGCCTGGAGACTTCCCTGGTGGACCAGAGGTTAAGGCTTCGCCTTCCAACACAGGGGGTGCAGGTTTGATCCCTGGTCGGGGAGCCAAGATCCCACAGGCCTTGCAGCCCAAAAACCAAAACATGAAACAGAAGCAGTATCATAACAAATTCAATAAAGACTTTAGAAATGGTTCACATTAGAAAAAACAAAAACTTAAAAAGAAAAGTTGCCTGGAAAGTCCTTGTAGAAAAGAAGGTAAGTGGTTTGCCAAACCACTTATTATGTTCTTCACCTTTAATCCTCAGAATTCAAGAGCCTCTCACTCTTAACCTCAGACACTTACCTTATTTGGCCCACAAACACTGGGGCTGCCGAGCCACCTCTGCACATGGCAGGGGATGAGTGGGGGGTAGGTTTGTCCCCTAAACCTGGATCCCCTGCCCTGTGGGGAGGCTCAGAGGCTTCGGCTCTGAACTAGCATCTCATTTCCGATTCCACAGAGTCCCCTCTCTTGGGCTCAGAGGAGTCGCTTAGGAAGAGGAAGGGAAACTTTCTCCCAGAGAGTGAGCAGGCAGTCACGTTTCTTGGAAGGTGAGGAGGCCAACCCATTGAAATGGCTTTCCCCGGTGGCTCAGACGGTAAAGAATCAGCCTGCTGTGCAAGAGACCTGTGTTTGGTCCCTGGGCTGGGAAGATCCCCGGGAGGAGGACACGGCAACCCACTCCTGTATTCTTGCCTGGAGAATCCCACGGACAGAGGAACTTGGGCTACAGTCCATGGGGTCGCAATTGGATGTATCTAATTGCAAAGCTGGTCTGAAAGGAGATGAGGGGCAAATCCATGTCCTACCGGCAGCCAGTGTGTCTGGAGACGAGGAGAATTTCAGCACTGGGCTTGCACACTCGTGCCAGGCGGCTTTGCTCCTGGGCGCCCGAGGTCCTGCGGAAAAACCCTGCCCGGCATCCAGTGATGGACGATGGACTTTGTGGTTGCCTCAGCTGAGCGCGTGTATGTGCTAAGTCACTTCAGTTGTGTCCGACTCTTTGCGACCCGGTGCACTGTCGCCTCCAGGCTCCTCTCCTGTCTCCTGCATTGGCAGGCGGGTTCTTTACCACTAGCGCTGCCTGGGCAAGCCTGGGCAAGCCCTGCATTAGGGGGCAGTGCAGTCACAGAGAGCCCCAGGAGGAAGGAAGGCAGTGGTTCACACGTGAAGGAATTTCTGTCTCCATCACATGCTGTTCAAAGGCAGGGATGTCCCGGGTGGGTGGACTCCAGGGAGGAGAGACAATCAAGGGACCGGTACGGGCCCTTGGGTCCCGACAATGTGAGCGGGGTAGGGGCGAGGGGACACAGGTCTCGGGCTCCTCGGCCTCAGAGGCCCTGCCCCGCACTCTGGGACGGTCCCCTCCCGAGGCTTCACCAGAAGGGGGAGTTCCAGGCTCACGGATCCCCAGAGAGAGGCGGCTTTTTCCCCTGGGGACTCGAGACTGGACGGAGAAGAAAGCGGGCCAGGAGGAAGGTCCTCTCCTGGCTGGAAAGCCAGAGAGGGGGACGCGGGGAGCGGAAGGGACCGGGCTTCCTCCTGTGCTCGGCCCCAGAGCCCCGGGGGCCGCTGAGGTGCAGGCTGATGGCGGCCTGCACGGGTCTCCTGGCTGCTGCGTCCCGGGGCGATGGGGGGTGCCGGGCCGTTTCTAGTGGCTTTGGTCAGTGTTGAGACTCTGCAGAAAAACTCCCGCAGGAAGAAAGCTCCCTCCTCACCCTGTGGACCATGGCCACGAGAATCCCTCACTTGGAAGGTCATCTCTGCGTGTCCACCCCCGACTTCTGGACTGCAAACTGATTAACTCGCTTCACCTTTCCCTGCGGGCTGATCGAGAACTCACCCGCCAATGCAGGAGAGGTGAGAGACGCGGGTTCGACCCTGGGTCGGGACGATCCCCTGGAGGAGGAAGTGGCAGCCCATTCTGGTGCTCTTGCCTGGAGAATCCCGTGGACAGAGGAGCCTGGCGGGCTACAGTCCACGGGGTCACAAGAGTTGGGCAGCACCGAGCATGCACACACGCGTCTTTCCCTGCTCAGCCTGGGCGGCTCGCCAGCTCCCTCATGGAGCAGGTGAGGCTGGAGGCTGGGCCAGGCAGAGGCACCTGGACGGGGGGGTGATACACAGGGCGATAAGCAGTGTCGGGGCTCTTGGCATCTTTGCGTGGACGCAGAAGACAGAAAGGTCCAGGTTCCTGGAGAACAGAGAAGCGAGGAGCTGCTTCCCTCCTTCTCTGGAGGTTCGGCCCTTGAGGCTGCTGACACCCCCACGCCCTCCCCGGCAGTGAAGTCTGTCTGAAGATGTGCGTGTGATCCAAGCATCACACTTACCAGGTCTCAGCGTGTCAGATGCCAGCCCGGGCCATCCTGACCGCAGAGAATAATTCAGGCCCCTCAGGTGCACTGGGCCCCTCGTGGTGGGAAGACCCACCCAGGAGAGGCTGGTTCCAGGTTTGCCGAAATCGAAGAAGCGGGTTCTGCCGACGACTGCTTAAAATTCATGTTGCCATGGCAGCGTGGCATCAGGCCACGGGTGATCCGGCTGCAGGGAGCTTTCATCTCGGGGAAGGCAGGGTTTCTTTTGCTCTTGAGCTGGCTCCAAGGGGACACTGCCTTGGGGTCAAGCTTTGGCTTTGCTCCTGCGCCTGGGGATTGTCCCAGCAGTGGACGGCTGGGAACGGGAAGACAAACAAGGGGGCTCTCAGAAGTCGGCTAAGCCTGGAGACTGCGATTCTGGTCGGGGGGAGTTGGCTTGAAACCCTCCGGGCAAGATCTGAAGAGAGAGCAGTTGAACGGCCTGTAAGGAGGGAGGCATCTGCTCTGCTCGGCTTGAGAGGGAAGCGCCAATGAGAAGGTGTGTGTGTGTTTAGCGGCAGAGCCAGGGAAGAGCGTGGTTTACCTGCAGATGTGGCCTGGCCCAGCTAGTCCCGACAACCTGAGTAATTTAGGGGTGCGTTGAACGGCCGTCACGAGGACTTACTGTGTGGCTGGCGCTGGAAGATGCAAGAACGAGTCAGGCGGCTTAAACCCTTACGGGCTTGCCGGGTAGTCGGCGCGCTAAAGACGCTGAAAGTGTCGGTCGCTCAGCGTGTCCGACTCTGTGCGACCCCGTGGAGCCCGCCAGGCTCCTCTGTCCATGGGACTTCCCAGGCGAGATACTGGAGTGGGTTGCCATGCTCTCCTCCAGCGGATCTTCCCGACCCAGGGGTCGAGCCCGGGTCTCCTGCATTGCTGGCAGACTCTTGACCGTCAGCCACCAGGGGAGGCCCAGGGCACTAACCCTGCATTGAGTGGTGTCTCTGCTGCGTGTACATCAGCCAGCGAGAGCCTGCTGTGTAGCGGAGGGGGCTCTCCCCAGCGCTGTGGCGACCGCAGTGGGAAGGAACCCGGGGGAGAGGACACGCGCACGGCCGACGCAGCTTGCTGCAGGGCAGGGACTGCAGGATGTCGCCAAGCCGCTCCACTCCAATAGAGGTTTTTAAAAATGATGCAAAGCGCCGGCTGCCTAGAGACTCCAGAGAAGGGAGAGTCGCCGCACAGGTGCCGTCGGGGTTTTCATAGGCGACTCTAGGTTGGGCCTCAGTTGATGGGAGGAGGAGGAGGAGCGCATTCCAGTTGGAAGGACCACAAGGACAAACCGGTGGCCACAGGATAGAGGGGCAGCGTCTGAGGATGGCCCAGGGTCCGGTTTACTGAGGGGCCAGGAGGAGGTGATGCTGCGACGTAGGCTGACCCCAGAGCTGCGCGCAGGGGGACGGCTGACCTCGATGGGCGACAGGGGGTCAGAGAGACTGAGCGCGTCTGATCAGAGTCGCACTTTGGAAGAATGTGTTTGGGGGCAGAGTTTGGGGTGACGGGGCCACAGCGAGCTTGTGAGACCTCCACAGGGCTCGAGAGGTATGGGGACCCCATGAGGGTGACAGTGAGGGGGTTTGCAGGTACAGAACAGCCAGAGGCCACACCGGCCTGGACGCGTTGAAAGGGGCCGGGAGAGGTGGGGGCGAAGGCTGCTGAGATGGGGAGCCCGGAGCATCGAGAGGAGCTGCACTTCGATGGGCCAGGAGGCCAAGAGGAGGTGGCGGGTGGGGAGACAAATGTGCGATGCTGAGTCCGAAGATTCCGAGTGGGACTAGCAGAGGAGCCGGAAGGACCGGGAGCCCTTGTGGACATCCTCAGACACGACAGGGACGTCGAAGGCCTGGTCTTCTGCGAGCAGATTGGCAGGCAGGGCGGAGGGAGACGGGAAGGAGGCTCAGGAGCAGAGCCTGGGGCGGGGGGAGTGAGTGAGGAGGAGCCGGAGGAGCGTGGGGGGCCGGCTGGATACCACGGGTGCACGCTGGCGGTGCCGGGGCGGCCGTGAGCTGATGTCGTGAGGGTCTTCACGGGCAAATGCCTCAGCCCCACCACTTACTTCTGTGTCTGTGTGTCCGATGGTGGGGGAGGAAGACGGTGGGGTGATCGGAGACGGTAGCTCGACACACATACATGAGCGCATGTAAAGTAGAAAGCCAGGGGGAATTTGCTGTCTGACCCAGGAGCCCACAGCCAGAGCTGTGACGACCTCGAGGATGGGGTGGGGAGGGAGGTGGGGGGAGGCTTGGGGGGCAAGTGTGTGCCTACGGCTGATTCATGGTGATGTGTGCAGAAACCACCACAGGATTGGAAAGTTATTATTCTCCAGCTAAGAATAAAATTAAACAAAAAACAATGTGTCCTTTGGTCCTTTCTCCCTGGAGGCTGACGCTACATATCTGGCCTCATAAGTCACATTTTTGGTGACTTTCAACCCTTTCTTCTTTTTCCCAAGACATAGTTGAAATTCCCTGGTGTTATTACTTCTGTGTAGCACATAGGAAAAAATGCTTAGTCCTCAAACAACATTTTCTTTCACCTTTGTGTTCACCCAGCTGACTCATATTGTGTGACGGCTTATTGCCGTCCTTCAGCCGTGCCTGACGGTGACCCCATGGATTGCAGCATGCCAGGCTTCCCTGCCCTTCACTATCTCCCAGAGTTCCCTCAAATTCCTTATTTTTTCAATCCCATGGATGTCTTGAATCATGTGACCAATCAAGGCTGTCTCAGCGCTGGCTTCTGGGGAAATCAGAGCCACGTCTTCCGTAAAAACACAGCGTGTCTGAGCCGTAAAGCATGTGCTGTGTGAACAGAGAAAAAAAGGAAGGAGGTGAGCTGGAGCGTCAACAGCAACAATGCCGCTGTATTTCCTAAAAGCAGACCCTGAGCTGAAGACGCGTGTGCAGGTGATGCCTGATGGGAGTGCTTCCCGGAGGGCCCGGTCAGGGATGGGGAAGCTGGGCAGGGACACGGAAGCCAGGCCAGAATGTGATCTCGGGACACAGTCTCTGCCCGCAGGGGACTCTGGCATGAACCTGGAGTGTATGTTACGCCTCCACACACTTTCTACCCCTTCACATACAGTCTGCCCACCTGCATCTCCCTTTTTGCACACTTGGGCGAAGCAGCTGCAGGACCTGAGAGAAGCCCTTCAAGGGCGTCACAGGGGCTGGTGATTAGAAGCAAAACCACACTGAGCCCAGAGTAGGAGCTGCAGAGACACTAGCAGTGATCCGCAAGTCTCAGGGCAGCTCCAGGGCCCACTGCCCACTGACCGTTTCTGAGAAGCAAGCATACGTGTGATGATCACACCTTTAATACACTTTAGCAACGTTAGTTTCTGCGTGTTAAGAATATATTTATTTTAGAACTGGAATAAAGACTAAAGTAAAATGTTAAACCGTCTCATTACTGTTTTCCTCCATCCATTAGTCTGTTTTCTTTCCCTCTTTGATAAACTCCCTTTAAAGAACATTTAAGAGAAATTTAAGATAAATTTTATTTATCTTTCTTATTAAAAGTGGTACCAGGACTTCCCTGGTGGTCCACTGGTTAAAGCTTTGTCTTCCAAGGCAGGGGTGCAGGTTTGACTCCTGGTCAGGGTGTTAAGATCCCACATGCCTCAAAGCCAAAAAATCAAAACATGAAACGGAAGCAATAACGTAACAAATTCAATAAAAAGATTTTAAAATGGTCCACATTTTAAAAAGTCTTTAAAAATGTTTTTTAAAAAATAAAAGCACTACTAAAGCACTACATGTTCACTGTAGAAAACAGAAAATACAGATGAGTAAAAAGAAGAAAATAAAAGCCCCAATCCTACCATGCAGAATACCCACTGTGATCACCTTCAAATTTATTTTCATGAGTGTATGTCAAATTCAATTAAGACAGTACTGTAAATATCTGCTTTTTAAGATATTTAGACAAACTTTTGCAATTGAAAATAGTTTTAGATTTACAGAAATGTTGGAAAGTAGTATAGGGAATTCCCATATACCTTTCACCCAGTTTAATACTTGCTTTTTTCACTTAATTTGTCATGAACAATAAATATTGTTCTCAACAATATTCATCTCAACATCATTTAAAATAATCAGATTGTATTCAGTTGTAAGGACATAGCATATTCATTGAACTAATCCCACTTTGTTGGATATTTGGGGTATTTCTGATTTCTCACTTTTACAGGTGTTTCTCACCACAAAAAAATTCCTAGAAGTATTGCTTGCCAAATGAAAGGAAAAATCTGAATGCTTTTCGTATCTGTTGGTCACTTGACTTCCAGGAATACGCCTTCAGCAGAATATGTGAGCTCCTGTTTCACCTACTGTGGTATTACAATTTAAAAGTATATTTTAAAAAACACCACTCACTTGTATGTTCATCTACTACTCAGCTGTCTTCACAGAAGCATTTAGAATGAAGTTTAGAATTTAGAAAAGATTTAGAATAATGACTGAATACTGAGTACTGCGGCCCTAACCTCGGCACGGGGCAGGTCCCACGTCCTGACTTGGTCTTTGACCGGCTGCCTGATGCTTTCCGGGGCGCCCAGCTGGCACGAGTGGCCAAGAACTCAGCCGCAGTGCAGGAGGCGTAGAGACACAGTTTCCATCCCTGGGTCGGGAAGACCCCCTGGCAGAGGGCCTGGCACCCACACCAGTGTCCTGGCCTGGAGAATCCCACGGACAGTGGAGCCTGGCAGGTACATCCACGGGGTCGCACAGAGCCGGACACGACTGAGGGGTGCAGCACGCGTGCAGGAGGCTTTCCACTGGGGCTTTTTGCTTGGCTTTGTCCTTCCTTCAGGCCCTGATGCCCGCAGTACCACGTGCCACGCTGAGTTCAGTGGGTGCTCAGTGAGCCCGCTGTGGTTCATAGGCTGGTTTAAACTTCCCTCATCTGGGGGAAGCTCCTGGTAGGGCAGGGAGCTCAGCCTGGTGCTCGGGACAACCTAGAGGGGTGATGGGGAGGGAGGGGAGTTCAAGCGGGAGGGGACGTGTGTGTGTACTGATGGCTGACTCATGTGGATGTGTGGCAGAAACCAACACAATATTGTAAAGAAGTTATCTTCGAATTAGAAATAAATAAATTGCAAAGAGCTTCCCTCATTTTGGGTGGGACAACGCAGAACCTCCACAGGGGGATTAGCCCCAGGGGCCCAGCATCTCCGTCAGCAACTCACAGTTCATTGGTTTTCTCGCTTCTTATCTCATTTACCCCAGGGCCTCACAGAACTTTCTGGAATTACCCCCAAATAAGTGACCTCTGATGTCTCAGGCTTTCTCTGGTGAAGGAGGGGTGGCACTGATGATATACGGTAACCAAGGGCACTCAGATCTGAAACAGGGGCTCAGAGAACAGTACTTACCCTAATACATCGAATGCATTCTGGTCTTTTTTCTTTTCTCTGTAATTTTGCTGGACTCTATCCGCTACATTGACTTGATGACCCACTCGTGGGTCTCAGCCTGCAGATAGAAAAACCGCCATCCCGGAGGGTGGGCGTTCTCAGAAGAGCTGGTGTTGATCAGAAAGGCAGTGTGATAGCTGACCTCTTCCTTGAGAGGCAGTGAGCTGCTGAGGTCAGCCGGGGTGGCTTCTCGCAGCCCGGGGACGCCTCCATTTCATCCGATTTCAAACCAACGCTTCTTGTCAAGGGGCTACTACGCTGGCCTCTGCTGATCACTCTGGCACGACGCCAGATGGAAACAACACCCCCCCTTCTCTCTGCAGTCCCTCGGGTCAGCTCCAAGAGGACCAGGGTTCCGAGTGAGGGTGGGGAGAGCAATTAGGAAGGAGGAGGAGGAGGAGACATGAATTTTCAAAGGTCATCTCGAGTATGATCAGCCAACGCTTGGAGGTTTATTCCAAAGGCCTTTCCTGATTAGAAAAACAACAATAAAAGAAAAAAGAGCCCCCAACCCACAAGTGGGGTAGGAAGTCGAAGAACACTTTAATTCATAAGGAAAAGGACTTGAATAATTGATGCTGCCTCCATGCCAAAGATAATTTCAGCTCGCGCTCTATCTCACAAAGACATTTAGCATTGATTGAGATCAAAGCATCCAGAACCCCTGCTGCTAGGCTGAAAGGCAGAACTCGCAGTGGCCTTTCTCGGCTCTGATAATGTCGTCTTTATGTAGTTAATAAACTGCACACTTCAGTCAAACTATATCATTACAGAAGACTTAGGGAGCTAATAATTTAAAAGCAAAGAATTGCCTCTGTTCTTCACTTTGAACTAAACAACATTCTGTTGAATGAGGAGCACATCAAAGTCTTGTCACTATTACCAGTGTGGATTGAGCAGAAGGCCGCACAGAGTGGGTGCTTCAGTCATCAAGGAGAGGGGGAGAGAGAGGGAAGACATTGGCTGATCCACCCAAAGGCAGTGCTAGATACATTATTATTTTTCCTACTATGCAAGCATCAGGTGGTCAGCTCATCTCGTGAGCATCCTTGTTACACAATGTACTTGAACGAGATCACAACAGCCGTTTTTCACCTTGGCCTCATTCTGAACTTCATCTCAGTTACCTTTAGCCTGCCCA